ACGGTCTAATTACCGTACCAGAGCAACACGGTTTAATTACCGTACCAGAGCACGTAAATATAGCCACAGACGTGTTTCTAATGATTATCATACTCACCCACTGTTTTCCGTTAAATCCAATAACACATAAATAGCCAATGAAATGTTTACGTCATTATGTTTTATCAACATCAGCTATTCATTATTTACCAAACAACACAAGGTAGCAGTGTCCTTTAAACGATGTTATGTGCTCTGAGATATCAGGCTCCAAAGAACTAAATCGATGAATGATTCTGCTCAAATGATGGCAAGAAAACAGTCCACTTTCGTCACATAAGCACTGATGATAAAAAAAAGTTGAATATTGAGCTCCTATGCATGAAAATTGAACGGCACTGGTGTAAAATAAGCATGACAAATCAATATTTATAATATTGCTAATTGATGTAGAAAACCAGCATCATTCACCATGGATACAGCTAGTGTTTGAGAGAGGCATTATATCAACAACAGTCCTCAAGATAAAACCCTCGCGACAACAAAACGGCTGATTTACAAATATAAAGTTGTTGCAATTTTCATTGCTTATCGACAAATACACATAGTGTGATATTCCACTGGGATCGGATGAGGATAATGCTGTATATTTCTGATATGATGTGATATCGCGGAGTCGCAGTACAAGATCCGTATCGTATGCATGTATACACAAGGGGTGATCACTATAATTACATTTACATCCTTATTTATACTACAACATTTTGTGATTTTAAGCGTAGGTTTGAATATGAGACGTGTATGTGTAAGATTGGTCCTATTAATTATTATTTTCAAAATTGTATAGATCTAATTCATAGAAAAAAAGATTAACGGATTAAATCTTATCACATGTGATATTGTTAACTAAACATCTATATTTTGTTGCCTAGTATGAATTGAAATTCCAGTAATATACAAAAACAAAATGTTGATATTCTAGCTGCATTATGGTAAAACAATCGTGGTAGTTATTACGGACACATGATGTTGAACAATGAAAATAAGAGAAATGAAATTAAATTCTTTATGAACACGCAAACAAAGTCAACGTATTTGTTTACCCACTATAACAATTGTAATGCTACTTAATTTAAGTAGTTCTTAGAATTACAGTTACATTCGTGTATACAAGTTATAAGGTTTCGCATTGCAACAATTCAACAATTTAATGGAAAAGAAAGTCATAATTTTGGGCTATTTTTACGGTTTATATGAATCTTGAACTACATTACATTTAAAAGCTAGAAGAATGGCCATGGTCATTTGTGTTTCACAGTGACTTGACTGCATACTTATGCTAATTTCATAAAGGTCAAATATTATATTGATGTATTTAATAATAGTATTATAACTGATAAGCGTATCACATTTGGGGAAAATCTCCAAAATATAGTTATTGGTTATTTAAGAATTTCACATGACCTTGACCTTATGACCTCCCAGCAGGAGTCATCTATTTCCCACGGGCAATGCCCCTACAAAGTATTACTAGCACGAGGGCTTATTTCTGCTCAGTTTAGCACACACAGTCTTAATTCTTCTCAAGTTATAGATTGGACAATAATTTTACACAAAAGTTACACTAAACCTTGACATTGATCTAATAACAAATCAAAAGAGATCATCTTCTGGCCATGGACAATACCAAATACCTCGTTCAGCAAACTTAGATTTATTCCTTCTCAAGTTATTGTTCGGAAAAGAATTTTACCAAAAGTGCCATTGTGACCTCGACCTAATGACCTCAAAGATGTAAGGGATTAGCAATGTACAAACCAAGTAAAATAAACCACTGCTCGTTCCTTTTCATGTTATTAACCAGAAAATAGATTTAAACAATTTGGTACTGTGATTTTGACCTTTGACCTGATTACTTCAAAATGAATTGTTGTAATATATTGGCCATGAACAATGTCAATAACAAATGTCAGGTTTAACAAAGTAAGGCTTATGACTTTTAAACAAATAGGGGTCATCTGATAATGGGCAGTGTCCCGACCAAGTTTAGCGCAATTGGGCTTGTTCCTCCTTAAGTTATTGATCACACAAAGGTAACTGTGACCTTGACCTTTGACTTACTGAACTCGAAATCAATTGGTTTCTTATAATTATTAGCATAGGACAATTTTTCTACCAACAAAGTTTAACAAATTTAGGCTTATTTCTTTTCACTATATTAACAGGACAATGATTTTGCATTAGTGTCGCTGTGACATTGAACTTTGACATAAAGTCCTCAAAAAATAATATGGCTTATCTACTGGCCATTCGCAGTAATTCTACAAAGTAAAACACACTTAGGCTATACCTTCTCGAGACACTGATTAGACAAAGTTTCTAAACAAAGTGTCACTATGACCTTGTCCTTTGTCGTCATGATCTCGAAATCAAATGAGGTCATCTAATGACCATAAGCATGTACTTAGAAACATAATCAGCAACCCATTCATTCTAAAGTTATTGATAGGACAATGATAATTGGACGCACGTAGGCACGGACGCGTGGACCGACCGACTGCCCATTGTTTTAAGTTAAATAATCAAAATTTAGCATAACAAAAATAGCTATGGTTTGGTATATAAATGTCTGTAACATTACTTAGAGGCATTTGTTTTTGCGGATGGAAGTCGGGGTTTTACACTTAAAACACATTTACTACAACCAGGCATTTACGACGGCCATGGTGAAACTTGAGAACACACAAATAGAACAAATAGAAACAGCTTCCTGACCATTTAATGGGGATCTTAACGTGCTCTAGGATTTATTTTGATAGCTGTCTGCTGATTACTTTGGCTACATAAACGGTGTTAGAGACGCGAAAAAGTCCCTTTAGACGGAAAGGATATTGTAACTGATGTCTTTGAGGTTACATCTTTATTACGGTTGTATATGTCTTGATGGTGAAACATTCGATTTAATGGCATCTCTAATGAAAAGTTTATAGAATAAAGTCTAGTCTCATAATCTGGTAATTTTAATTAGACATAAAAAGATATGTGTTGCTGTATTGAAACGAGGGATTTAGAGTTGAAATTGTTTCCATTATATATATCATTATTTCTGGAATAGCCTGCACTTACTCTCACAAAAAAGCAATAGCAGCAATAAAAAAGAGAGAGAAAAATGTTCACATTAGAAGCGGTGTTTTCATTTTTGTGTGGAGAAGTTTTTGCAAGGCTTAAAGCATCTAAATGTATTTGGGTTTTTTTTGTTGTTGTTGTTTTTTGGTTTTTTTCTATAAGGAATGTTTATTGTCACTGGACATCAAATGTAAAATATTCTGTTCTTATAAGCACCACATTTACTCGTAAGACCCTGTTATCGTCTATGTCTTTTTGTGCTTCTCGCACTTTGCTGCGATCCATAAGGTATACCAAAATAAATGTAGATTTTAAAAAGGTTCGCATTCATTTTATGAGGTTATGAGAGGTTATAAGCAAGCAGGATGTCCTATCATCCCGTCCGCTGTAATTAGCAAATAACTGCTTATTAACCTTTATGGGATCCAATGATTTTGTAAATTTATAAGACGTAATTAGTGAAATACAACAACTTTTTATCGTTTACGTTTATCCCAATATCTTAGGCTAACATTTATGTATTTTGCGTATATCACCTGTAGATGCTTTAAAATAGAGAAGTTTTAAGATTCAAGAACGTAGTAAAACATCTTGACTGGTTTAAAAAAAATCGTCTATAGAGTGCACATGGTATTTCTAAAGAAAAGAAAAAGAAAAACTTAAAGAAGAAATTATTTTTTATGACTTACTAGTAATTATAAAATGTTTATACCACGTAGCTTTATCTCGTGAGGAAGGACTAGTACTTAATGCATCTAAATCAGAGTAGGACTGGAAGGTGATAATCTGGCCGCTAAATTAATAATGACCTTAAATTCATCGACGCATAAATGCACCTGGCCGATCATCTGTTCGTCTGTTGTCAATTGCGTGTCTGTTCTCCATCTTTTGAACCGATGGAAGGAAATTGAAACTACTTGCCAATGACAGAAATTTTACTAATAATGAGGCGAAATGCATCAGCAGCTGTAACCAAAGACTGAAACAAAACTTAATAAATCTATGTAAAAGAATATTAAGATTACGGAGGTTACAGTTAAGTTATTGGGTGGCTGCTGAAGACTATCTAGAATGTGATTATTATCAAGATATTGCTTTACGCTAAACATGCGTTGTACTGATCTGACGTATTAAAGGGACTCCACTGAGGTTTTTTGACATGATGGGACTGAAAATATTTTTTCAAGACAAATGTACAATTTGATGTAGGCTTAGACAACTAATCTTTGTGCAAAATTTCAGATCATTCGCGCACTTCGCCTTTCCGGGATAATTATTCCAATTGTAAGAAAATGACCCAAATTGAAATTACCGAAATTAGAAAAGTATTATAAATGATTGACAAAGACACAGATTAATTTGTAAAGTGTCGTAAATGTTAATCATTGAATTGTAATATATTGACTAAAATGTTCTGCAAAGAAGAAAGAAGGCATAGAGAAAGTGGAATATTTATCTATTTTTTATTTTATTCTCATCCGTGTGTAAACACAATATTCAATTGTACTAAAAAGTATGAATTAACAGGTTTATGTAAATATTCTTATTATTTTAGAAAGCAGCGAACTGATATACCTATTGCTCTGTAATAAATGCATATAATGATTCTCTAAAGTATTTCAAATGCTACCTATTCATAATTGCCAATTTCGGAGAATTTGGTCGAAAAAAGGCAATTTGACGAAATTTAGGATCGGGATACCGCTTTATAATATTCATGAGCTATATTCTGTTGGTTATAATGACAAAATAATTTAGACAGGCATCCGACTTATTTATATAGCCGATAATGGTTGATCATCAAAAAATAAAATTTCCACAAAAGAATATAATTTTCAACAAGCCGTGCTTCGATCCCCGACGGTGAAATCCAATAGGAGTCTTTGACCAGCTGTAGCGGGAAAGTTTGCACACTCAGACGGATCAGCTGCATCCTTATAAAATGCCAGATTACAAAAAATACTTTAATCCGTCGAAATCTATTTTATTATGGGAAGGAGAGGGAATATCTAAAGACAGACATGAACCTGATAAAAAGTTCTACGAGTAAGTCAAATTTTGTTACTATTTAATTGTAATGTAATTTCGCGATGCGTTTTTTTTTTATAATCTGTATGACTACCTCAAATATGTTTATATGTAGAATAATTTAAGTGAAGAAGCAATTTCAGATAATTTGTCATAAATGCAATAAAGAGACTAGGGTTTTTCAATTTCGCCCTACACCATACTGCAATAACAAAAGCTGCCAAAAACCTTCTGCAAGATTTATAACTTCAAATTTCCAGGATTATGAACTGGGTTTGATGACAAAATTTTACAGGATTTACACCTACAACCTCCAAGCGAACGCAGAAAACAAAATAGTTTAATACTTCTAATCAAGCATTGTACATAACAACTAGGATAGTAGGCATTAAGTTAATCATACTGATAAAGTCTTTGATGTTTGTTTTTCATTTTAGAGGATTTACCATAGATGGGATTTTGTTCCGGAGAAATGATTTTGTGTTTGGAACAAACGATACATCAAACAAGACTGCAAACATATATAAGCTACTAGATGTCTTTGATACAGGTATATATTGCATTTGATGTCTTAAATATGTTTCAGTGTAGATATTTGTCATAGCATTGAACTATTTACTAATTGTAGGATGTGGAAGGGGCTGGATAGCTTAGTCGGTGGAGTCATGGTATATAGTATTTATAGGGTCCCGGGTTCGAGTCTCAGTCAGACTGCACAGTTTTCTCACCCTTTGACAGAACTATATTACATTTAGATTTTTTTCCTTTCTCTTGTCCTGTCTGGTAAATAGAAGATGCAGTTTGGAATTGGATTAATCCATGTGTCTTAACACATTCACCTTGTTGTTTTTATTGCCTTGAAAGCTTGTTAAAATTAATCAAGTAGATTAATCATTACGGCTACATATTGCAAACCAGATGGCGATCCAATTCACGATTTTTGCTAATCTGAAAGCCCAAATTGCAGGAGGCATCCATTTGCTATTGACCATGCCTTTCCCCAGTGTCACAACGGGCCAGATTACCAGATCCATTTCCAAGTGCAAATATGCTTATTTTTTCCCAATCTTTAAAAAGAAATCCCAGTTGAACTAAAATTCTCAACATCAGAACTAACAAATATGCTGGAGTTCATTCCAGTATAGTATCAACCAGATGTTTTCACACATATCATTGTCAAATTTTAATTATTGTTTTTTTTAGGTTTTGAATGATTTTTGCATTGTTTATAATAAACAATTTTGCACAATACTATGCCAGAAAAGCACGAAGGAGGTTTCAAAAGGTACCAATTTTTTTCCCCCAATTAATTAATTTTACGATGCAAAATTTCCTAAACTGGGCAAGGTACTTTTCCAAATGGCTAGGAAAAGGCCTGTTGACATATATCTTGTGTTTTTGAATGTATTTAAAGTTTTATTCATTTTCATTATTTCAGGGAAGGAAAAGCTTGCCCATGTTAGGTATTACATAACAAAGGACAGTGTTCAGAAGTCAGCCTTGTCCATGCTAACATCTCAAGGTCATATATTTCATCCTCAGGAAGTATTTCTAAGTACAGACCCCAGAGATAATAACGTGATTGAACTGTCACAGATCAAAGGAAAATGCCAGGTTAGCCATTTTTGGTGTATTTTTAATTGAAACTGTTGACCATTTTGATACGGCTAGTGCTAAACTTAATCATTTTTGCTTTCATTTCAAAAAGTATTTTAACACTTACATGTACCATATTTAGTATGATAAATGGTATTATCCATCTTTCATTCTTAATATGTATATAAAAAAATCTGCTACTATCAGCATTATATTTTGTTCTGGAACATTTTATTCTCTACCTACAATATTCATGTGTGTTAAATAGCAGAGACATTCTTTTGTTACTACTCTTCCAAGAATCAACTAAAGTGGGTCCAAAAATTCCCAATAAATATAAATATTCTTTATTTGACTTGCATTGTTTTAATGGATGTTTGATTCCTTCAGATGGTAGCATTACCTTGAGGTCCTCCTTGTATTTTCTATAAACCATTCACCTTAAGTCAAAAAACAAATTAAAAATGATTGTTAACTGGAATTTGTTAGATAAATTGAACAAACTTAACATCACATTACATTGGGGAGGGAGGTGTTGAATATATTTGAGTAGCCAAGCAATCAGATGTTTTGATATGTAATTATTTGAAGGTGGAAGAAGTAAAACAGATTCCCGTTCAGTCTCCCAGCAGTCGTAAGCCTCGTGTTCCAGTATTCTACGCAATGTTAAGTTACGATGGACGTAAATTCACCAAAATATTTGAAGAGGACAAAGAAAACACTGATCAGACAAACAGTATCTCTGCTAGGCGTAAAAGTTTGAAATTAGAGGGAAGAGTTAACTCCCCTTTGAAAATTACAGATCCACTGCCAACATCTTTAAGTCCAAAAGTAGCACTGAAAACAATAGGTTTGTACATGAAGCTTTTATCCAATGTTAATTGAAAAAAGAAGATTTCAGATACTAGTACTTTGAGGATGTACAGATGTTTGAATTGTCTTCAAATCAATTAATGTTGATCTCTGTAGTTTGGCGGTTATGGTATCTTGACTAAATGACTGGTCTATAGTCATTGTGTTTTCGAATCTCTCCAGATATGCTGACGTCTAATTTTAGTCACTATTCCTCTCTGTGACAGGTGAATCTCCCTCAGCGCTGTGGGTTCAAATCCTGACTAGGACTTTTGGATTCTTTCAAGTAAGGAATCTACCTTACAGAAGATCAGTGGTTCTACTCAGGTGCTGGCTGGAACCTGAAATAATGTACTGAAGGGCACTTGAGGTCTTCCTCTTTCAGACCTATACTGTGTTGGTACAACGTAAACCCCCCACCACCCCATGAAAAGAATAGTGTGAATTTTGATCTGATGACTAATTTGAAATCTTGTAAACACTATGGTTAACTCTATTTGCAGATCAAAAAGTGGTTCTTATCAACAGGTTTGAAATATGAAATACAAATTAACTGAAATCCTTGACACCGTAACTTGGACTAGTTGATATTTTCCTGTTACACTAAGATTGGTCTTAACCGTAAGTTACCAAGAAAAGGATTTATTTCAAATTTATGAATTGGTCAGAACTGCCTAGTGCAATCTTCAAGATATATTTTTTTCACGAACTTTCCCCTTTTATGCTGAAAAGTCCCATTTGAATTATTGCATTTGATTCCAGTGTCTATGATTAAAGGCCCCATAATAAAAAAGATAATATCTGGAGCCACTGAAATGATGTAAACCTAAATTTCTTTTGTATTTAGCATAAAATAACAGAAGAGAAAAAAATCAACAACAAAAAGCTGGAATCTTTAGATGAGCCCCAGGAGTGCTTAGGCCAAGTTTTATTTAATTCTTTTAACTGGGAAAGAAAGTTATATTGGCTTTAGGTGATGAAGTAGGAGAGGGCGAATATAAGATATTATAATTATTTTTATTCTTGTCTTCTGTCAATGTATCGCCAATATTCTCCAAAGGCAAGTGTGAGATTTTCTTGAAGACATTTTATTTCAATTTATTGTAACAGATCTTAGGATAACTGCCAGAATGGTTGTTGATTATTTCAGTTGGGAGAGTGTCTGTTACAGATCTTTCTTTGTCATTGTGCCATAAAGTAGTGTTATCTACAATGGTATAAGAAGATTTGTGGCCAATATTTGTGTTCCCTAGGACAAGTCTGTCAGACAGATGTATACAATAGTGTTACAAAAGTTTGGCATAAGACTACTTTATTTTTGTAACAGTTCTAGTAACAATATAAGGTTCTATATTGTATGTAATTGTTTCGTCCTTTTAGGCTATTTTAGAACCTGGAATTTATGTATTAGTTTAAAGGAAAAATATGAATTTTTTTTTTTTTAGTTTAAAGAAAAAATATAAAGTTGAGAGACCGCACTTGTATTCATGTATGCCTTTCGGTGGTATAAACTTAATTGCTACAGAAAATTATTTTCATTTTGATGTATATTTGTCTATGTTTGTATGTGTAGTAAATTAAAGAGCTCTGCATTTCATGAACTTCATTAAATTAGAAATAGCTATATTTTGTTATTAAAATGGGCTTCTCACTCAACTCTAGTTCCTGTCTTAGTGTCCATACTACCAAAATGTGTTTTATATGGGTAAGTGTTGCAACCTTCTTGGAGTAATATCAAAATTTCTATTATTTCTGTTTGCATTAGAAACTCTGCCTTTGGGTTAATTGAACATTTTGCATGAAAAATCATACTTTTGCACACTTTACACTGGCCCGATTGTATTTTGTCATTCATCTAATTGGACACAAATGTTTGCTTCAGACTATAGAACAGTATGTTCTGTTTGTATTCCAAGGTCAGTGTAATACTCAGAGGTTAGAAGACAACTTGTTGAATTGATATGCTGCCATTTGGCATCTCTTCATTCTTCTATGAATTATATAATACCTATTCCAGGTAGTTAATGTTTAAATAGATACATTCATGTCATTTAGTGTAATTTACATTCTGTTTTATAGATGGTACCAGTCCCTCTGTCAGGCCGAAAAATTCACCTTATATGAAGGGGAAAGATGTTACACGGATGATAGAAGATGATGAACTTTCTCTCATATCAGATTGTTCAACTAGTACTGATCTTAGCTCTGCGACAAATTCTAGCCGTGGTTCCCGTCGTAGTACAAGAAATACACCTGTAAGAGAAGTGCCAAATTCAGCTTCAAACCTAATAGTCAAAGGAGTTACTGATTCACCAAGCCGGGCATCAGACTCTCCTAAACAAAAATATGTCGTAAAAGGGCAGTACACTGCAAATGGACAATCGAGCACGCCATGTAAAATTAAAATCTCAAGTAAATCGAACACTCCAAGCAAGGAAAGTACAAATATCAAAGCATTGGACAAAGTATCTAGTGATGATGAAAGCATTAAAAGAAAATCTATAAAAAATGAAGAATTTTCACCGAAAAAGTTGAGACTTGATTCACCTAGGATGACAAGATCTGCTAACAAATCTGAAAATGACAGCTCAAACCAAACACCAAAGGCTGTTAGGTCAAAGGTTGTTGAAAATTTAAGAAATAAATCAATGACCGAACCAAGACGTAAAAGTTTAGCCACTTGTGAGGACCTAGTAACTAAAGAACCTCCAAAAACCGAGGGAAAGGTCAGGAGAGTTCAGAGTGTAAGAATTAAAAGACTTGGTGACATGTATCAGTCATTCAGAAGTAAGACACCAGATAGTGAAGGGAGGGCAGTGCGTGCTAGACTTAGTGACAAATTTGTTGGAATTAAGGCGGCAAATGAACTGAGAAAATCTGGTCGGGAAGTATTTACTGAGGTGACAAATGCAAGTTCTCCAAAAAAAGTTAGAGCTGCTAAAGCAAGGTACTTTAATGCTTTATCTGGTCATTCTGATAATATCTTAAAGCTGTTGCACAAGAAATCTATTAAATTGTCAGTTTTAGTAAATTTGGGAGATAGAAAGCGGGAAAATGTTTAAGTAAACTGGAATATGCTAAATGTTTCAATAGAACTTGTAGAAGTACCTGTACTGTTACTAGAAATTTTGTTGTTGAAGAATTTGAAGGGGGAATTGTCATTTTTGTGTCGCCTCTACGGAGTAGTGGCGACATATAGGGATCACTTCTCCGTCGTCTGTCTGTCCGTCTGTCTGTCTGTCCGTCTGTCCGTCCGTCACAAAACTTGTCCGGACTACCCCTCATAAACTACTGGTGCAATTTCATCCAAACTTTACAGGAATGATCAGTATCAAGTCTAGTTGTGCATATTGTCAGCATTTTCCGGTTCAATGATTTTTGTCAGAGTTATGGCCCTTTAATAATTTTTAATTTTAAAGTTTGTCCGGACTACTTCTCTTATACTACTAATGCAATTTCAATGAAACTTTACAGGATTGATCTGTAGCTCAAGTCCTTGCGCATATTGCAAGGGTTTTCCGGTTGAATGATTTTTGGCCGAGTTATGGCCCTTTGAGTAAAAGGTGTTTTTTTCTGTGTGTTGCCAGATACACAATAGCTTGTCCGGACTACTCCTCATAAACTACTGGTGCAATTTCATCCAAACTTTACAGGAATGATCAGTACCAAGTCTAGTTGTGCATATTGTCAGCATTTTCCGGTTCAATGATTTTTGTCAGAGTTATGGCCCTTTAATAATTTTTATTTTTAAAGTTTGTCCGGACTAGTTCTCTTATACCACTTATGCAATTTCAGTGAAACTTTACAGGTTTGATCTGTAGCTCAAGTCCTTGCGCATATTGCACGGGTTTCCCGGTTGAATGATTTTTGGCTGAGTTATGGCCCTTTGATAAAAAGGTGTTTTTTTCTATGTGTAAATGCCAGATACGCAAAAGCTTGTCCGGACTACTCCTCATAAGCTACTGGTGCAATTTTATCCAAACTTTACATGATTGATCAGTACCAAGTCTAGTTGTGCACTGTCCGTCTGTCTGTCCGTCTGTCACAAAATTTGTCCCAACATGAAATTGGCCATTATGAGGCGACACATGTGATTACTGATCGCTCTTGTCTATGAATTGGATTCTGTGTATTTTATTTCATTCAAGTATCACAATGTTTATGAAACAGAATGAAATTGTTTTACCTTCTAAAACAACAAAACTCACACATAAAATACTTCTTTGTCATACAAAACTTTATAGTTTGACTGTTATGCAGGTCTTCCTACAAATAAACTGTATGTATCGTAAAAAGACAATATCTGAAACTTTGCATCAACAACAATAATTTTACAACAAGTTCACAGGATGCAAAGTTTAAAAAAAAGTCATTTGTTATAATTTTTAATCATTATATTTTTCTTGTTAAATTACATGATAAATTTACTATTAATCGTATATACCTATATTTAGACCGAAGAGTTATGTAGAAAGTCTGAGTGATGCATTTGATTCTGATGATGACGAATTGTTGACAGTAACAAAGTCAGGAAGAAAATCTTCACGACCAACATCTAGAGCAAGGTGAGACTCCGATTCAATTATATATTGAATTTCGCCAGATTATATTATGCGCCAGGGATCCCTGGATCTGCTCTGATATATTTAAATTTGAAAATAAAAGAACAGTTGCGCTGAAGAACAACTAGCATGAATATAAATGATCAATACATTGTAGGTAGAGCATTGGACAGTGAATTTGGCGATCAGAGTGTGATTCCCTGATATAGCAATTATTTTGTAATTGGCATGAGCAGAGATGTAGATTTAAACACTTGTATCTGTGAAGTTTGACAAGGCTTTATAGTGGTTAAAGTTCAATTTTTGTATTTTGATATTGAAATCCCTTATACAATGGACTGTACCAAATTAATAGCCAGACCAGTCCATAACTTAGCAGGTGAAGTGTCGGAGTTTAAGTGAACATTAGTCAGTTACCTAAGGGAAATCTAGTTAAGACCACTCAGATAATTGACTCCTGGTGTATGCCTAAATTAATTGATGCTAAATTTGCTTAATAAATAATTGATGCAAACAAATGAAAGTCATGCAAAGCATTACAGAAAAAAAATACAATACTAACTTATTTTACATGATTTTAGAGGAAAGAAAACATCAGTTGATGATGACTACCAGGCAAAATCTGAAGTAAGTTATGATGCTGAGGAGGTTGATGATGATGATGATGATGATGATGATGTTTTTGCTGTTACCAAAACAAAATTGAAACGTAAATCTTCACAAAGACGTAAAAGCTCTGCCGTAACACCAAAATCTAAAAGAACACCAAAGGTGAGTATGTCAGTAGTTCGAGAAAGATCCATATTAAATGCTTAACACACTATAATGTTACCTACGTCCATAAATGTGCAAAATTTTCCAGTAGCTTTTAGTAGACATTACCATTGGTTTTTGGTCATCACTGAAAGATTCCATCTAAGGAAAACAAATTTGATAATTTGACAACAAAGTGTACAGAAAACATCGAACTTGTTTTTTCTGTTCACACCAAAGGTTAACCAGATATAAATAATTATTGTTTCAGAAGAAAGGCTCGGTTATTGATTCAGCTTCTGCTAAAGTGCCAAGTAGACAACGGCCACTGATGTCTCCAAACAGTGTATTAGAGGAGGCCAGGGCAAGGTAAATGTCAACATGTTACTTATGTTAAACAGGGATTCCGAGGCAGTTGTCCAACAGGATGGTTGGTGGCTCTACTCACCTGCCAATTGGTACCTGTAATGATGCCAAAAAGGTCATCAAAGGTCTACCTCCCAACAGTAAAGCTGGAAAGGTTTTCATTTGACCTTCATAGTTTGTATGTGACTTTAAACACAATCAGTCAAAACTTTGCAATGACAGCAACTTACTTTGAGTTATTTGTGTGATAAATATTTTGGAAAGTGTTATAAGACAACTTAGCTTGCAAATACCTCGTATGATACTCTATTGTCTTCTTATCAGGACATTGTAATAGTTTAGTGCATTACAGTGTGACAGCTAGTGTTTGAAAATTAAAACTAAAAAAAGCAACATATAAAATACAACTTTGTGTCGGCAATTGATAAATACTAAGTTTTCAGTAGTAATTAGTTTACCTACATTGTCATAAATGACAAACATATACATTACAGACTGCATGTATCAGCCGTACCAGATACGTTACCATGTAGAGAGAACGAGTTTGATGATATATATAGATTTGTCGAGGGTAAAGTTATAGATGGTACAGGAGGGTGAGTAAACATAAAAGTGATAAAACAAGTGACATTTTAACGGTACGTCTTCAGTCAAGTTGTTATAGTCATTAGCCTCACATCATTGTGATATTTGAAATACTGAAACTGCAAAGCCTGTGCCACCAGATTTGAGCAAGGCCAGCCTGCATATTGGTGCTGTCTGATTAGTCTTTTGATATTTTATTGGGATACCCACACAGTATATATAGAGTATATTGAATGAGGGTAGATACAATACTGAATTTATTGTGATTTAGGAAAATAATGTGTTAAATTGTTATTACACTTCTGTCATATTGTTTTAATTAAATGACTTTTACACTCTCGTGCTGTGGTTTATGTGATGAAATACTTTGATGTAGAATTTTTTTTAATCTGATGATAGGAATCTAGAGACATAGTATTTTCATGTATATATTTGTAAATTTATCAATGACATTAAATAAATCGCTAGTTGTTGTATTTTAGATGTATGTACATATCTGGTGTACCAGGGACAGGAAAGACAGCAACAGTTCATGAGGTGATAAGATCCCTCACTCAGGGATGTGAGGATGGTGAACTGCCCTCATTTAAATACCTCGAGGTGAATGGCATGAAACTCACTGAACCTCGACAAGCTTACGTTGAAATTCTCAAGGTAAGGCTAAGGAGATGTATTCTTGCGTCTCACTGCTGTATGTTTGAGCCCGAGAACATCGAAGATTCTACTCAGGTGCCTGCTTGTACTTGAAATAATGTACAGAGGGGCACCGGATGCCTTCTGCCATCAGTAAAGCTGGAAAATAGCCTTATGACAGTGCAACATTAAACTTTTTAAACACAATAAAAAAAGATGTGACGTAGCAGATGTTTAAAAGTTTCAGAGTTAGTTTAAACATTTTTATTCTAACCAGATTAGGATGATAGTTTATTATTAGACCTTATTGAGTCCTCTCCCTGGACCTAATGGTTAACAAGTACTGGTGTCATATGAGGAAACATAATTGAGACCTCAGTTGGGCTCATACCCATAATTCCTGGATGAAAGACAGACACCTTAACCACTTTTCCTCTCTGCTTCCATAAAGCCCTCATTACACGACAGTTATTTTACAGATATTGACCATGATCGGCTTTAAAAGTTTATGGAAATTTGGGTGAAGATGACTGTAGCTAAAATGATTTTTCAAAATTACCTTCAAGTTTGGAAATGCTTTTTAAACGTGCAAAAGGCAGCTATGCTTTCATCGTACATCTATCACTGTCACTGATATTCATGTTGAATTTGTGTTAAACAGGTATGAAGATACAGTATAATTTAACATTATTGGTTCATATAATTGTCACAGATTATTTCTCTGCCATCCATTAAGACTATATTTTATTACAGCAATTGACAGGACAGAAGGCAACACCAGACCATGCTGCTGATCTGTTAAACAGAAGATTTTGTGGTACAAGTTCAAGAGAAACTGTTGTTTTACTTGTGGATGAGGTATTCATTGATTGTTATATGATTTTAAATTCTTACCATATATTAAAAAAAAGATAAATGTTTGTTTCCTCATAGACAGTTTTGACCATCAGGTTTGAATTTTTTTGAAATTTAACAAGAAATTTCACTGATCCTGCTGAATTTGAAACTGTCCATTTGAAGTTCAACTATGATGATTGAAATGCAGTTCTTGGCTTGGTTGAGTGGAACTTATCATGTTGGAAGAGTAATCCAAGGATCTCTAGCCCCCTTAGGTTCAAACCCCATCAGGAGCAAGACGTTGATTCCTTGAACAAGACGCTTTACACTAATTGCTCAAAACTGGTTGGTTCAAGGAATGGATTTGAAAGTTTGTCATTAAGCTTAAAGCTTCCTACACAATCAAACTTTAATAAATTCTGTATAACTTAAAAGTAAAGAATGTGGTTTAGAATACACAGATGTGCATGCTTACCTTTTCTTAGGAAATACTCTTATTTGACTTCATAACATGATTAAGGATATTTCTTTTGCACATATTGTCCTTAAGATTTCTTTACAGAATAAATATGGAAGTGGAAGGATAGTTTATGCCATATAATACTGAATGTAGGAACACTTCTTAGAAAAACTGCCTACTAAAATACATTTAGAATGCTGCAACAACTTACAGATTCTGTTGGTTTTATGACTCCTTGAAATGTAATCACCATATTTATGTTATACAATGTGTGTGACTAAAAGTCAATAAGGAATAAGAAAATTGTGGCACTAAGCTGGAAAATCAAATGATAATTTGTTTTCTCCTTTTCTATGATTTTGTTAGGTTTTGTTTTGTTTCTTTCTTTCTTTCCTTCTTAAGAGTTGTAGGTTTTGTCTGGAGATGTATTTCAGCAGATACTAGATATATCAACTTTTATCAGTGATAGATATTGTCTATATCACTTTATACATAGAAGTTTTCTATCTAGTAAAATCTTAGAAATAATATCAGATACTAGGAGTGTAGACATGATCATTCCCAAGGCTTTGAGTGAGAAAAGCAGGCAAAATGGCCTAAATCTATCTGTAGGGCAAACTCGGTACAAGATTATTTACTGCTTTGTATATATAAGTAGTTGACGAGAAATTTGCCTACATTATTCACTCCTAGTTATATTGTGTTATCTTTTCCTAGTAATATGTTTGATATATTTAGCAATGTGGGTAATTAACATAATCGTGTCTGATTGTATTACAGTTGGATCTTCTCTGGACGAGAAAACAGGACGTGATGTATAACGTGTTTGACTGGCCGACTAAACAGCATGCAAGACTTATCGTGTTAGCCGTGGCTAATACGATGGATTTACCAGAAAGAATAATGATGAAACGAGTCTCAAGTAGACTGGTAAGCCACAATTTTGTTATCAGTATCAGACAATCTGATAACAGGCTTGTGATAGGGAGACAGTCTAATTTTCTGATATAGTTCAGAAGCTGTAGGTTTTCAATTAATGAACACTGCTGATTATCAAAAGTGGCTCTTTCCTGCAATTTGTAATACTGTTAATAGAGGCAATGCCCATAGAGATCCTACTATATTTAAGGTGAAGTGAATGGGTCCCCTAACAAAATGTCAGAAATATTTTGAATATATTTCTCAAAAAATTAAATTTCATGTTTGTGTATTAAAAATTATTTCACATTTGATTGAGAATATAATATTCACTTCTACAAGCTGTGATTTTATTTTGTTGTTCACTAATTGTGACAAGCTATAATATTTCAGATACAGTCCGACCCCGGTTATTCGACAACCCTTTATTCGAATACCTGGCATTATCCGAAGTAGATCGGCGGTCCCGTTTTTATCTCTTTATAAATTAATATACATACAAACGTATTATTCGAAATGCATTATCCGAATACCTCCTATTTTTCGAAGTAAAATTTCGGTCCCGATATACAATTATGAAAGAATTTCACACCTATTATTCGAAGCCAGACTAATTGGTGCAGATCCACTTGCTGACCGTTCTACTTGTGAAAAATTTCCAAAAGCCATTCGTGTATTTAAACAATCGTGATAATTACGCTTAATTACCGAGATTTAAAAATAATGCACCGTGTCGTTTTTATTGATTAAAAGATGACAGCGATAATTTTCATGAATTGTCTATGTGTGCATTTGTCAAAACATCCAAAACATTTGTTTCTATTTGTTTCTTTTTCATTAATTAATTGTAACGCTACATGAGAACCATAACTCTAACCGAATATACCAGGATTTAGCTTTAAATACCGCAATAGTGACCACACGGCCATAATCAATGAGTTTTAAGAAACGATAATTATTGTAGAATGAAATGAAAGTATTTAGGTCTTATACCAATAAAAAAGTTGTTTTAGTAATCTTTTCATGGATATTTATTTTTCTTGATTAATTGCTGGAAATAAGTGTGTTGTAAACGGGAGTTTTGATATAATTAGCCAAGTGCAGTAGTTTTTGTCTATCACCATATTCGGATTTCGATTATTCGAACCCATCGATTATTCGAAGTAAATTTTCAGTCCCCAGCAATTCGAATAATCGGGGTTGGACTGTAGATTCCTTAGTAAAAATTGTCATGAAGACATGAACGTTGTTGTCCTTGTTTGAGGAGAAAGTACTCTATGAAATTGACAGCAGACTTTATGCACATGTATACAGATTACATTGTTATTAACATGAATACTATCCTTATCCAATGAAAAGGAACATTACTGCCAATGTGCAATGTTACCATATATTGTAAAAGATGCATTATCTTTTGAAATGATATTGATTCTTTATGTTAAAATACACTGGGGGAGGAATAATCAGCAATAAAAACATAATGAAAATTGCTTGAGTAAAATACCTTTTTAAACATGAGCAAGAGACATTAACAACCACAGTGAGGGAATGATCTGAAATTTTGCACATAAACTATTTGTGAAATGATACACAAGTCACGAAAAAAACAATTCCAGTCCTGTCATGTCAAAAAACGTCAGTGGAGTCCCTTTAATAAGGTCTTCAAAATGGAGATGTTTTATGGGGTAAGTATTAAGTTATAAGATGGTTTTACATGTCTAGAAAGCTGTTGACTTTTCAATGTTTTGCACTATTTTAAGGGTTTAACAAGAATGACATTCCAGCCTTACACATTCAAGCAACTTCAGACAATTGTGTTGTCACGTATGAAAGGGTTGAAGGCATTTGACGAGGATGCCATTCAGTTAGCCGCTAGAAAAGTCGCAGCTCTGTCGGGAGATGCTCGTAGAGCGTTAGACATTTGTCGTCGAGCGACCGAAATTGCTGAACTTGTAGCTATGAAACAAAAGAAGGATGTGCTAGTAGGAATGACGCATGTAGATGCAGCTTTGCAAGAAATGTTCTCCTCTCCAAAGATTGTAGCTATCAGGTTTGTTGTTTATAAGTACTGAAAAATCACCCCATAGGAAAAGTGGAAGGAGTCATTGATTGTTTGTTTTGGCTTCTTTGGTTAAAAGGTTATTGTGACAGACTGCAAATCACTTTCCCCTGGTATCTGTGTCTGAGTGGTTAAGGTTGCCCACTTCATATGATTTACCCCTCACTTCTGTGGCTGCAAATCATGCAAAGGTTTTAGAATTCTTAAATTAGTCAGCTTGTTGTTCTGGTCATAGATGCCAGCTTATTTCTGAAATTCAACAAGAGGCATCCAATGGCCATATCCTTTCCACAAGTAAGCAGGAAAGTCCCCATATAACCTATTTTGTGAACTGAATTTAAAAATAAAACAGGTTTTTATTGTGAATGTAAAATACAGAAATTTGGGGGGAAAAACTTATGTTGGATATTATATTGATTTGAATAAAACTTGTTTGCAAGTACATGTATGTAGCAATCCATGTAAAAGATTCTATACACTTTTACCTTTGCGATATGTTAATGTAATACTCATTTATAAGCTAATGTTTTCAGCATGTGATCTTCTATACTATTTTGGTAATGATTGTTTTGATTGGGATTAATATGGATGTTTATCCTCAAGTTTACTTGGAGAAGTGGTTATATTGCCTAACCCCTGAGACAGTTAAATAACCTCTGTTTATGTTTAATCACAAAGGAGCCGCGTCACGACAAAACCAACATAATGGGTTTGCGACCAGCATGGATCCAGACCAGCCTGCGCAAGTAGAGAAACTGATAGCGAACAGCATGCATCCTGATCAGACTGCGTGGATGCGCAGGCTGGTCTGGATCCATGCTGGTCGCAAACCCATTATGTTGGTTTTGTCATGACGCGGCTCAAATCTTTTCTTTTAGGAATGCATCTGATCAGGAGAAAACATTATTGAGAGCCGTGGTTGCTGAGTTTCAGAGATTAGGATTAGAGGAAGCAGAGTTCTCTAGAGTGTATAATCAACATATCTCACTTTGTAGGCTGGAGGGTAAGCTGATTTAACTTACGTTTTTATGTTATATTGAATTATATATGTATTCTATCATAGAATTGTGTGGCTATTTCAAGTTGACTCTGTCTGCCTGGAAAAAAAAACTGGTTGTTGAAACATTTTGTGATCCTAAATATCTATGATTAAAATAGTATACATTTTTATATTACAGATATATTGACTTTTATTAAGAACAAAACAATATAGACCTTGTGTTGAAATTATCTATTGACTGTTTTATATCATTCATCATAAAAATTCTTTTCACATATTATTTTCCCAGATTAAATTTTGAAAATGAAGGGTGTATTACTTTTTATTGAGAAATGTTTTGTATATTTCAGGCATGCAGCCTCCATCAACGGGAGAGCTGGCTGGAATATGTTCACGATTGGGAAGTATACGTCTTCTACTGATAGAACATTCACGTCATGACCTCAATATGAGAGTGAGGCTCAACGTATCCCAGGACGATATTCTGTACGCACTTAGAGATAAGAAAAGTATATGAGAATAGATTATAGAAAAAAATGCATGATACATTCAAACATTTGATTTTAAAAGTGAGCTAAAAGTTGAGCATGTGAATTAAAACGTGAGCAAAAAGTTTGAGCATGTGAATTAAAAGTGAGAAAATAATTTGGACATAACGGCTAAAAGTGAGCAAACAAAGCAAAAAATTATGTACATAAGAACTAAAAGTGAGCAAAAAAAATGAGCATGTGAAATGAAAATAAGCAAAAATTATAAAAGTGATACTGTATTTACAAATGTTGCGGTATAAAGGGAGGTAACTGAAATTATGTTCTTTAAATTTGAAGTAAAGATTATCTGATGATGCTGGTGAAGGTGTAACAAAATACAGACTGGTTAACCATGTACCTGAATATTTTACTTATCCAAAAACAGTATAATTATGTTAAGTTGAAAACAAAAACCTGTAGTTGTTAAATTTCCAAAGCATGACTTAGCAAATGAAATTCAGGTTTTATTTTTTTTTCGTTTTGATTTTTTCAAAAGATGAGCTGTTGAATTCATAAAAATGAAAAAGCTATTTCTTGAAGGGATGAGCTTTGAGGACTTAATTTTATATGAAAATATTCAGGTGTGTTTTTTATTGAGAATCCATTTTTTGAAGAAAAAAATCAATAAAATGAAAATGTTTGAAAACTAATTACTTATTTTGAAAAAGGAAATAGAGGCACATCATTTCAAATTGCCAATTAATGGTGCTTAAATAACTAAATGGTGCTTACAATTAAAAGATGTGCAGTGGTAAGATTTTTTTTCCCAAAATTTTTATGATTTATTTTAATCTGTGGCTTATCTTATGTAGTGGTAGGTATGTATTAATAAATTATATTTGACAAATATTTTAATTGGAAGGATTAATGATGTAAAAGTCACAGATGTATTTTTTTTAATCCAGAGTTGACTGAATAAAAGGAGGGGGGACCAATTTATGAAGCAATAATGAATAAATTTGTGTTTTGTATTTATACTTTTAATTGTACATTTACCTGTAAATTGCAATATTTTTAATATACATGTATGCAAAGTGGAATAAATTTTTACTTGTTTGATGTTTGTTTTTGTCCTTTTTTGTAGCCATGAAGTCTGAAAAGATTCTCTGAAATGATAAAACTTTATTATCACAAAAGAGATTCATCTATTTGTAGGTTGAATAGATTTAAATTAGCTTACTTTACTTTTTTTTCACATATATTTTTTTAGTTTAAGAGTGTTCAAAAGATTCACAACTCTGGTATTTATAACATTTGCTACATTTTGGCCAAGTTTGCATTCTGTGTTATTTGCCTTTCACTTGAGGCAGTAGAATCACTTATACCAGCTAGGAGTATAAGTATTAAGAATATGTCGGGGGGGGGGGGGAATTGATGGAAAGCTGTCTATGCCTAAATCCTATTTTGTATTTTTGGTTTCTTTCTATTTGCCAGTAACATGGGATAAGTGAATAATTGTTTTACTCACGATATAGAGAGTATTCTGCTTTTCATTCTCTACTAACAATAGTAATTTAGAGCCTTTATCGTTAGGTGAGCAATATAAGGGCCACCATGGCCCTCTTGTCATAAACAGTATAAGGAAATGATATTGCAACAGATGAATACAATATCATATACTGAACAGTGAACAAAAAACAAAACTTCCCTTGTATTTGTTAGTGCAGATACAGACAAATATGAAAATCAGGATTAAAGTAGATTTATATTATGTTAATGAAAGAGTAAGTTATTGTGATTTTTTATGACAAAATTTATTACTGTAAGATCTAAAATAAGTGAAATGGTAGTTAAAATGCAGAAGAGGTCGCCCAACAAAATCACAAATTAATATCGGGTATAACCACATTCAGCATGAAGGACTGCCTGGCATCGTTGGTGCATAAAACGGATCAGCGTATTGATTTCGGCTTGTTCCTTTCCTGAATTAAGGCTTTTCTTGGCTGAATGACGTTTAGTGGTGGAATAGGGCGACGTCTAACACGCTGGGGGCAAATTATCCCAAAGATGTTCATTGGTTTTAGATCGGGGCTTTTGGCAGGCCACTCATTAATGAATGCAATGTTATTTGCCCTGAAGAAATTCCCAGTGTCCCTAACTGTATATGGCTTGTAGCATTATCATGTTGAAAAGAGTGATATTGGCATTATTTTGAAACAGTGGGATAACATGCCTCGCAAGGATTTCATCTCGGTAGCGTTGGGCATTCAAATTCCCTTCGATAACGACGAGATTAGTATGAGTCATGTGCAATGCTTGTCCAGGCCAAGACACCCCCCCCCCCCGGGCAGCAGTCGGCAAATCTTTCATTTCAACTACGATATACTCCAACCCTGCCATAAGCTCAATGACTCGCCAGAGAAAATAACGCTATTCCATTGTTGTCTAAGCCAGTGTATGTGTGCACATGCCCAAATAACACGATTTAGGCGGTGACGTCGCTAACGTATGGTCCACGTCCATGTAGCCATTCTTCGCGCAAGCGATTGCGCACAGTTTAGGCAGATACATGTATACAGTTATGTGTACCAGGGGTACTAGCTGTGGTAGTTTGAAAACGATTGCGCAGATGGGTTCTTTGAATATAGCGGTCTTGGGCACGCGTCGTGACGGGAAAACATTCAATAGTCTATGAGCTTCATTCCGACCATAATCTCACTTAAAAAGAAGGAAATCCTATAAACTGACTGGTTTATGTGGTAATTTTTCTGGTTACTAAGATCAAAGAAAAAGCACATAAATCCCAAATGTTGGCGTGGACGCCCACTACGTGACGCCTTGTTGCTTGAAACGTTGCCTTAGGTGTCGGATGGCACGAGCGGAACATCCAATATTCACAGCGACGGCATTCATCGTCATACATTTGTACCAGCATTAATTAAGAATCCCAATTGCACTTTAATTTTGCGGTATTATAGGCATATCAAAAATAAAGAAAATGATTTTTTTATTCTTTCTTAATTCTTTTTCTTAATGCTATGAAAGTCTATAAAATTACACTGAAAGGTTTCATAACATATACAAGGATCTACTGGTCCGTGCACGCACCTGAAAATCGCGTTCAGCGGGTTTCTCCTGCAAAACGATTTAAAATTGGGTTAAAAATTGTTTTATCGGACACATATCGCAGCTCATCTGACATTTTGATTTCTTTAAATAACACCACATCTCTGCTTAAACACAGGGGAAGTTCCTCTTTTTTTGTTTTGTTTTTTGTTCAGGATATGTTCCAGTTAAATACCCATGATTAATTTGTAAAAAAGTAGCAAAATCATAAACAGTCAAAAGTACAATGCTTTCATTCTCAACACAAACAGTTATAGTTATAAATTACATAAAAAACATTATAATGCCTGTTTAATGACAGTCTAGTTCTGGTTTTTCTTTTTTATCCACAGAAGCCTGTATTGTCCTGCTCATAAAATAATAAATGCGATGGCCCCTTTCATATACATGTACTAGTATTTAACGCTTTGATGTTTCTCAGCTGTTATATATGCCAGTATATGCTTTACTGGTAATAATGCACAGTGCGATATCTCAGCTAATGCAAAAAAGTGTGCTCTGTTTCATATAAAGATAGTATATTCGGTTTATGTATAACCGTGACCGACCGTAGATAGCAAAAGTCTTGAGTTTTCCCTACTCTCTGTAAAGAAAGACCCCCGATGTCGCCCCAGGCCATGATATTTCCACATACAAGTTTTGTTGCTTAATATAACATACTATTACATACAGTTTGCACATAATACTCGAAAGGTTGTTGCAATATATATAGATACATGTAGATAGATATTGGTACATATGTGTCCCCACATACAGGTTGCAAAATTACTACAAAAATCTTCGTCAAATCTAATTGTTATCTTACATCATTTTTTTAAACTACTGCCTTAAATACCAGAAACTATATGCCCTAATGCTTCTGGTACCATACACATGCACGGACATGTGTTGCACAATGTGAAGATTTAAAGAACAGATCAAAATACATACAGATCAATCTCAATGTCTATCGATGACAGAATGACCTTGATATGTTTTCCAAGGTCGCAGCAGCCACATCCGATCCAGGCATCTGAACGCACGTTAAAGCGAACAATAGATCTATAGAAAAAGGCTGGCTTTATAGCAAACACTCTATAAAGGCATCAGGTATGTTGGTGCTTAATTTAGAATGGGCCCAGTACTTTAATGGAAAGAAGAATATACTTTTGATACGATCATTTAATTGAAATTCAGCTGTTACCTTCTAATATTGTAGCCTTTACAGTATACTTTGGATTTTATGGTTGTGAATAATTACTAAGACATGTTTAAGTTTTGGCTAGACTTTAGAATATGTCCACAGCTATTTTAAAATTTTTACACACAATTACATTGTATCTCTTCAGTATGTATATATCAGTTTAACATCACTCAGATTAGTTCTAGGGTTACGATTAATGGTTAGGGCTATGGATTAGGGTTAGTGTCGTTTTTAGGGCTAGAGGGTTATGATTAGGATTATAACACATGAATTTTGTTGCGTACAAATTCTAATTTAAGTGCTCCCAAGCTTTAAGTAGAACACAATAACTTTATGTTGCAGGAAGTTAACTCAAAATTAGTGGCGTTAAACCTATTACAACAACAACTCCACAACAACAACAACAACAACAACAACAAAAATCATGGCGAATAGAACTGTAAAAGACGCTCATTCAATAAAAGGGACAAATCCACAGTATCTAATCGAAAAGATTATACGTACGAGGATATATGAATGTAGATACTGGAAGGAGGACTGCTTTGCACTTTCAGGTTTTTTACATTAAGTTGTTTAATGTTGTATATAACATAAAATCGGACGTAATAAATTCGGATATTTTTTTTTCAATGTCCTTTTTATTTATTCCACTCTGATCATTATTTATTCGATCCATATGTGCTTAATTAACAAAAATTCATAAAAAATAAAACAACAAATCATAATCATGAGGCAAAAAATAACATATATACATGTTCGACTTCCTTTTAATTTTGAAAAGTGCCGTACAGTACGGCTACTAGACAATACAGTGAGTCCTGGCTAGTCTTACGTGACTCACGTGTGCCTAGAACTTTTGGCTTCCTATAGACAGTGATTTTTTTTCCAATTTTCAAAACAACCTGTGGCTTTCTGAAGGGGAAAATTTTGCCCTGATTTAAAAAGAAAAGGGGGGGAAACATTTTCCCAAAAACTGGAAATTTGGGAATTTTTAACCACCAAAATTTTGTTTAAAATTTTTAAATTTTTAATTTTTAATTTTAATGCATGGGACTTTGCAGAAAACCATAGGGAAACTTTCTTCTTTAGGTGATTATAATTGTCAGATTTTAAGTAATGGGTTTTGGGGAAGAAATGCACAGGGCATTACAGGGGAAAAATTTAGTTTTTTTTGGGGAAAAATTTTCCTTTTTTTAGTAGGGAAAAAGCCTTTTTTCGGGTAAAAAAAAAGGGAAAAAATCATGATAGATCAAATTTTTTTAAACAGGCTCCCGGGAAAATGTTCATGCCCAAATTTGTTTAAAAATTCTTGAATTTTTACACTTTAGCATTTTTCACTTACACAATTTTACCAGCCCATTAAAGACGGCCCCTTGATAAGATCAAACTTGCGCTTGTAAATCAAAGGAAGTACGGCTAGCCAAAAGTTCTAGCTGTACGTGAGTCACGTATGACTAGCAAGGACTCACTGTATTGTCTAGCCGTACGGCACTTTTCAAAATTATATGGAAGTCGAACATGCGTAATTACATTATTTTGTGCCTCAATCATGATTATGATTTGTTGTTTTATTTGTATGAAAAATGATTTTTTTCTAATTAAGCACATGGATCGAATAAATAATGATATATGTATGATAACTTGCATGAATACAATTTTGCCGATACTGAATTTAACTGGGTGACGTCACAATTGCTTCTCCATCTATATTTAGCTCCATGCCAAAACAGTTGCATGAATTTTTGATCAAAAAATTGTTTTCTGTTTTAAATGGCGGAAAATAAAAGATGTTAAATTTTTTTTTAAAGAAAGGCATCGCTAATTAACAATAACAGTAGGCATAGTTTAGCCACCTGCAAAAGAAAAATACTTGAAACATCCATTCCTACTAACTGGTTAGGTAAAATTACAATTTCTGCAGTTCAATCTTCATACGTAAGTGTGACAAATCGGCATGTGTACATGATTACTAATTTACTATTGTTTACCAATTAATGAAAATTATCATGCTGTACACATCATATGCTGTGTATATTGATAAGTGGCAGATGAAAACCGCGAGTGTACCCATCAGTAATTGGCTTAAACCGCTTTTATGCAGATAATTCATCACGGCTAATGTACCTGAAGGTGGGGCTAATTGCTTTGTTGATGCAAAATTCTTGCATCAGCACTTATTGATGGCCAAACAGTAAAGTTTCCATGCATCCATCGGAAATTATCATGGGTCAAAAATGACACATGAGCTGATTTTCTGACGGGTCAAACAAATACATTTCAGAATTTTCACGGGTCAAGACCCAAGGTCTCGAATCAAACAAACACCCTGTTTAACATACATTGTATTGGTAATGCATGATTGATGATAGAAGAGAACTGATTTGTAAAATTCAATAACATATTTATAAAATTTAAGTAAAGCCATGTGTCTTCTCTTGAACTTCAATAATGAGATATATGCTTTAGGGTTTAAAGTTAATGAATTGTATGTTTTGTCTATTCTTTCAGCGGAGCTCCTTGTTGACAAAGCAATGGGTCTGAAATATGTTGGTGGTGTATATGGGGGTAATGTAAAACCAGCGCCATTTCTCTGTTTGCTTCTTAAGATGTTGCAGATCCAGCCAGAGAAAGATATCATTGTAGAGTTTATCAGAAATGAAGACTTCAAGTAAGTCCATTTTTCTCATTAAGTATATGAACTCAGACTCTGTGTCAACTGAGATGTTGAGTTGAGATAAATTAATGGAATTTGAATACTGAGCTCTTTGAAAAATGTTTAAGAAATTAGTAATTTTATGAATAAAGAAGCTCAACAAAAGATTTATGACTTCTTTATATTGGATCTTAATATAAACAAAGTAAGGACATGGCCAAGTGCTTAAATCATCAGATAAGTATCCTAAGTATGCTAGCTGCAGGGGGTCAAACCCTGTCAGGGTAAAGCTGTTGTGTCTTTGAGCAAGAAACTTTACACTCATTGCTTAGTACTGGTTGATTCGAGGAACAGATTCTGAAGTGTTCAATATTACTGTATACAGTAATAAGAATAGACATGCAAATTATAGATAGTTGGTTATTTTATGAACATTTTGGGTCAGCTTGAAGTAAGATTTATTATCAGTAAATGCAGATTCATACTATACATGTAAAACTATATAGATTTGATCTTACATTACAGATATGTAAGAGCACTGGGATCTCTATACATGAGACTGACAGGTACTTCCATAGACTGCTATAAATATCTGGAACCTTTGTATCTTGACTACAGAAAATTGAAAAGACAGCAAAGAGATGGCAGTAAGATGGTTATTTTCTTTATTTTCCCCTCATTAACGTTTACTTACGATATATATATGTGTATAAAGAACTTGCCATGACTTCAGAAATGGTTCATTTGTAGTTTAAGGAGTTTAAAGTTTGATGTTACAGTTCAATTGAGTAGTAAACAGAAGAATCATTGAAGGGGCGTCCATGGCCGAGGTGTTCAGGTCATTGACTATAAACTTCTTGTCCCTCAGGGCTATGGGTTTGAATCCAATCCCTGATTCTATCAAGTGAGGAAGCTATTCAGCTAGCTTGAGGATTGTTAGTGGTTCAACTGTGGTGCCCACTTGTGTCTGACATAAATCATGGGAGTGGCACCGGAGGTCTTCCTCCACCAGTGAAGCTTGAAAATTGCGTCATATGATGTTTACTGTGTAAGTGTGAGTTAAATCAAAACCAAAATACAATAGTTATGATGTAATTTGTATTTCTCTTTTAAAATCTAGCTTTTGAACTGGTACATATGGATGAATACATTGATGAGTTGTTGAGGGAGGAACGTTCCTGTGACATTATTTTACCTAGAATACAGGTGTGTATTGTTACCATCCAGTGTTTGTTTTCACACCCCCACTTAGGTGTTGGGGTCATATAGATTTGCCAGGGTAAGCTGTTATATGTAGACTGACATCCGACATAACAGTGGAAAGGGGGAGGGGCAGCCATGTCCTATAGATACAGTTCTAGTTTTTTGTCCATTTGGAAAGGGTCTCATTCTGTTGTGAGATGGGAAAATTTGGCTTTGAAAGCCTAATTCTGATTTTTTACTCTTTATTTTGGGAAAAAAGATTTTCATGTATGTCCCATACAGGAGGATGCTTTAACCATACCATATATGGTTGAGAAATCAAAACTGTAAGCAATTGATGATGCATGATTCAAAGCAAGGATATTTCAAGTACATATATTATATATTTATATTTGTTTTTGACAGAAACGTAATGTGTTAGAGGAGGGTAATCTACTGGACTCAAGAGTTAGTGCCCTTGATGAGGACCTCGAGGACATGGAGACCTCGGATGAAGAAGATATAATGGTAAATGATTACTGTTTTTTGGCATTTAGTTTTGTTTAATTTTTTACATCAAATTCACAATTGCCATTTTATTGTGCAAAAGATCACTGTCTTCATACAGCTCCTAGTATTTGTTGACCTGAAGGTCTGGATAATGGAATGGTTGTTGAGTTCTGTATTAGTGATGAAGGGTTATTGAATGTTGGTTGTCTTACCAAGATGCTTATAGATATACATGTATGGTATAGAGGAGAAGATGGATGTTTTTCTGTTCTAGCAATCATATGATCACTCCACATTTAGCTACCATATTCCAGGCAAGTACTTACCGATTCCAGTGGTATATAACTTTCTATTTTAGCTCTATTACTTTGTCTGTTATGCTTGCAGATATTTTTCTGTGCGACAATATTTTAATGAAAACATGCGGTAACATTCAATGTGTCACAGTTTCTGTAAGCATATCATGGAAAAGTACAAGGGCTACATTGGAAAAATTTGTACATTGTTTTGGAATCAGAAAATAATTGCCGAGAACATAGTATTTTTTTACTATTTAGGTATTGAAAAATACAAAAAATGAAAGCAAATATAGTGTAATTCATGAACTGGCTGTTAGCAGTGACCCAATATTCCCGTAAACAAATGTCACATGATCACCCGCCCGGTATAATACTATTATACATTGTCATGTATTTAATTGATTTGTGTTATTTATAACAGGATATTTATAAAGAGGCAGAGAAGAAACGCTCCAGCTACCGAGGGAATGACAAGCCTGCACGAAGTCCGTCACCAAAGTCTGGTAGAGGCAGTTCACCACACCATAGGTACAATATCTAATTTATATCTCATATTATTATACAGTAGAACTTCGGTAAGTCGAAGTTGAAGGGACTTGCGTAAAAACTTCGACACATCGGGACTTCGACTCATGAATCGCTCTCAATTCCTGACAAAATTTCGACCCGTGACTAGTCCTAATTATAAGCTCTATAACGAAACATATTTCATGTTTTTCCATCATTAATCTTATCTTTAAATTTTACAATGATAAATATAGCATGTCAAATTACGTTTTTCACGACTACCCAAAGAGTTACAAAAGGCGTATGATTACGAAAGGGCGATAACTAAACCAGCTTATAGTAAATATTTCGCGTGTTATTCTCACGCGACACCGGGTCAAGGATGTTTTCAAATGAAAGTAGTGAAGTAGTTCTTACTGTTTACTTTCAAATACCACTACGGCAATTAAATAGTTACGATTAAAGCATTTTATCACACATTTTATCTCAAACAAAGGCTGTTTGAACACACGGCTGTGTTATTAACACCTATCACACAAGTTGATTGGAAATCGTCTTCGCAGCCAGATAAGGTGTGAAAAATGTCTCGAGGTCAAAGGTGTCAAAACAATCCAACGACTTCGACTTATTTGTGGTAAATTGCACTAGATTTACTTTATACGGACCACGAAAAAACCTCGACACATCGAAAAATTCGACACATAAAATTTCAACTCATAAATAGGTTTTTATAAGGAATATATAGGGGGGAAAGTCGGGACTTTCATTTTTATTCGACACATCGAGAAAATCGACTAATCGAAGTTCGACTCATAGAAGTTCTACTGTATATGCACCTATAAAAAAGGACTTGCCACTAACTTTTGATATCTCACTTTGAAGTTTTCAGTTATATGTTAGAGCTGGTACACTACAACTACATATGTTAAGTTTGTTGGTGAATTACTGTTTCAAACTAGCGCCCTGAAGACGTCAATACATCAGTTTCAAATCATCAAGACTTATTCAAGTAATTTCTCTAATTTGTAATGTCTTCTGAAGTTGTGTTAATAAAATTATTCAGGGAATTTCTGCAGGCTTCATACTTAAAGAGAACTACCAGTAATTTATTTCACACAGTTTGATTTTAAAATAATTTATATCGTACTTTAATTTCAGAGATAGAACAAGAAAAAGATCCAGATCAAAAGACAGATCAGATAAAGATAGAAAAAGTGGTAAGTTTTCATTTTAATTTCAGATAAAATGTTGCTGCGTAACAATTCTCATTTCCGTAGGCATACATTATAATCCAGGGGGAATAACACATTTTTCCTACATCTAGATAAGATTAACAGATCACATGTAGAGAATCGTGCTTGAGAGGTAAAAAAAACAACATCTTTTACGTAACAAATTCTCAAACCTTCTGATATGTATGCTACATATATTATAGACTTAAAGTACTTTACATGTTTAAAATTTTAGTAGATTTTGATTGTTTCAAATCAGTAATGTAGGAAAGAGACTGTCCACAAATAATTATGAAAATTTATATTATATCATAGGTTTTACCGTGACAGAATTTCATTTAGATATGGGTATTGTGTATATGAAAATATTTCTTTCTTTTTCAGATAAAAGATATAAAGATGAGGACAGGTTTGTACAATGCTATCATTTGTTTGAGGGTTGCCTCATCTGAAATAATAACTTCTCATTGTTAATGTCTGGGACTTAAACAGCAAATGTTAAACCGAGCTTGTAAAAATTGCACTTGCATTCCAAAATTTTATAATCATTTGCATATTTTTAATGACATGTACGCTTTCATTTTCATTAGATATGCAAGGCTTTGGCAGTAAAACCATTGAAAATTGTTTCAAACAGATCTATGAATTATTTAGTAAATTGAATTACTATCTGGAAGTGTAACCTGAAATAACTGTTTTTTAAGTTTTAACCAAATAGTTTTTAGCTGGCTTTCCTTTCCTGGATGAGTAACCAGTAATTATCCATATCATCACAATTGGCTGACTACTACTAGTCATCTCACATGATTTCTGAATCAGTGGTGCAAAGCAAATGACTGGTAGACTCAATGTTGAAAATCAGTGATCACATAGAAATTTCTTCTTGACCGTGATTCCTGATTACTAATAAAATGCTTTGTATTGAGCTAAGTTGGTAGGAAAGGGGGGGGGGGCATGATGAGATTAATAAATGACTTGTAAGTCTACATCTATATGGTACAATCCAACTACCAATTTCTGATCATAATTGTCTCCGACACAATTTTTGGAATATACATACAAATTGAAATTCAATATTTATTGTGTAATTATGTGAAGAAATCTCTTAGTCTTACAATAAATGAATAATTATTCATGATTTTTTTTTCAGAAAGCATCGCAGTCATAAAAGTAGTAAAGATCATCGTGATAAAGATCGTGGTGATGACAGGCACAAGGACAGACATCGTGACCGTCACAGGGATCATGGGTCACGTGATTCACGTCACACATCATCAAAGGAAGATTTAGAAATACAAGAGGCCAATGAACTTAGAGCCAAGCTTGGAATGGCCCCACTAAGACCATAATGTAATCTTTAGTAGAAAAAGACATCTACATATACGCATATGAATTGTCATCAGAACTTTCCTGTGTTTAGCAGAATCAAGATTTATTTAAAGATCATTTAAAGGATCAAGTAAACTCCAGCATGAATATAAATTGAAGTTTCATTAATTGTACTTTTAGAAGAATTACATGATGTAAAATTTCATAAAATGAGAAATAAGGCAAATATTAAGCTTTACTGTTTGAATTTTATATTAGAGTCACATTTGTTCTGTTTGAAGAAATTTGTAATTTCAAAATTTTAAGCTGTTAAGTAACTGATATATTTTACAAGTTATTCTTGGCCTCATTTGAAACAAACTTTCAAATTTTGTAAAATTTTTACGAGGCTTTGTCAGTTTGGTGTAATAAAATAGAGGATATTTGTTTAGTTCAGTGTAACAACGGAATAGATTTCACCCAGTGAGCACCAAAAAGTACATTGTATATATTCACGAGTGAAATATTAACTTTTGGTGTTTACGCGGTGAAATATATTTTGATCTTACACTAAACTAAACAAATTTCTTTTTATTAAATGCAAAGAAATGTTTAAAAAGACATTTTAACCTAATAATAAATGAAAAGCGCGCCAAATAATAATACAATGTGACGTCACATCATTAAGTTGGTTCCCAGTACTGTGCATGTTGGTATATCACTGAAACAACTTAAGGGGCTTAAATTCAAATCAGTGAAAAATATCAAATTGATGAATTTACTATTTCAGTGAAATATCTGTTTTATATTTCACAAAATCAATAGAAATCACCAAGCGTAATAAATTATTTTAATTATCATCATTACATGATAGGTTTAAACACAGTATTTTGTATGGTAAAGTTTTTTGAAAATATTGTCTTTTATAAATAAAAACTTGATGGAAAAAAAAGGTTGTTCTGTCTTATTTATCCTAGCATTAAATAGCCCTTTTCTTCAGTTTCAAAATGAAGGGGTTAAATTCTTATAGAACTATAGTATCCAATAACTTAATGAAGAATTTGGTGGATATTAAAGTCTATGTACCTTGCTCAGCCTCGTGTGATATTCACCTCAGCATCGGTGGCCATCACATTAGCTTGGACATTCACCAAAATGTTCATTATACAGTAACTGATTTATTATATCGTATAAAACCAAATTAAAATTCTTCATTTGGTAATTTCTCAGAGTCCGTCTTCCCTTTTCACAAAATAGCTCTAAATAAGCGGATGGAAAGTGCAGAAGTTGCTTACCTATAATTTTTGGCATTTGATTCCATTTTAAAGTGGGTAAATGTTCACAAGCACAGCAAAATTGCCTTTTTTGTACATCCTTGTATTTTAGACAGAAATATATATGATAAAATTCAGGATGAAAATTATATGATTTATGCTTGCTCATATTTCAGAAGGTCTTCATGTCAAAATCGAAACTATTATAGAATTGAAGAAAAAACCACAAGATTTGTTAGAACAATGCTATAGTGCATTAGCAAATTTAATTATAGCATCAAATGGTATTTATGTGCTTAGGTTTCCACTGTAGCAAAAACTTTAATTCTAAGAAATCTGCGAACTTGAAAGGAGTGAATTTCCTTGGGTTTGTGGGGGAGGGATAGAGGTGTTAATAAATACCAACAATTGTTTTTGTTCCAAAGTGTATTATTTACATTACTAATGATATATGTCATATACAGAACAAGGTTATTTGCATGAATATGTTTTGAAAAATAAAGCATTATTTTATATTAATCTCTGACAAACTGATTCTAGACAGTGACACTAATAAATTAGGAACAGTATGCATTTTGTCATGATATCATTTGTACTAAATTGATGTAACTTCTATATTTCAAGACATAACATATATGGCTAGCATATTGCAAATTGTTAAAGCTATAAATTCTCTTTCCTTGTACAATAAAAACAACATTAAAATTGTGTCCATTTACAATGAAATAGTGCATTTCCACCAAAATTTGTCTTGAAACTTACAATGGTTAAATAATAAAGTCTGAACATTTTGTATGATGTCATAGTGTTAAAAAAGCAAGTGCTACTGATTGGGACTGCTTTTATATCCTTGTTATATATGACTTTCTAAAATGGCAGCTGTCATAAAATGTACACAAGCATCTGTTTGGCAAAGACATCAGACTATTACTAATGTGAACAAGTTAACGCATGCACTGGCTGGCATAAAATTAATTTAATATTATCTTGAACACATTACAAATATGATACAAAATGCCTGTCTGGTTAAACATCTAAAACTCCTGTCTGGTTAAAGATACAAATGCCGGACTGGTTAAACATACAAATTCTTGTCTGGTTCAAGATACAAATGCCTGTCTGGTTAAACATACAAATTCCTGTCTGGTTAAACATACAAATTCCTGTCTGGTACAAGATACAAATTCTTGTATGGTTAAACATACATATTCCTGTATGGTTAAACATACATATTCCTGTCTGGTTTAACATACAAATTCCTGTCTGGTTTAAACATACAAATGCCTGTCTGGTTAAAACATACAAATCCTTGTCTGGTTTAACATACAAATTCTTGTCTGGTTTAACATACAAATTCTTGTCTAGTTAAACATACAAATTCTTGTCTGGTTTAACATACAAATGCCTGTCTGGTCAAAACATACAAATTCTTGTCTGGTTTAACATACAAATTCTTGTCTGGTTAAACATACAAATTCTTGTCTGGTTAAACATACAAATTCTTGTCTGGTTAAACATACAAATTCTTGTCTGGTTAAACATACAAATTCTTGTCTGGTTAAACATACAAATTCTTGTCTGGTTAAACATACATTTTCCTGTCTAGTTAAACATACAAATTCCTGTCTGGTACAAGATACAAATTCTTGTCTGGTTAAACATACAAATTCCTTTCTAGTTAAACATACAAATTCTTGTCTGGTTAAACATACAAATTCTTGTCTGGTTAAACATACAAATTCTTGTCTGGTTAAACATACAAATTCCTGTCTGGTTAAACATACAAATTCTTGTCTGGTTAAACATACAAATTCCTGTCTGGTTAAACATACAAATTCCTGTCTGGTTAAACATACAAATTCTTGTCTGGTTAAACATACAAATTCCTGTCTGGTTAAACATACCAATGCCTGTCTGGTTAAACATACCAATGCCTGTTATATGACATATCAAGCAAACACAATTGTAAACTTTAAGAAGTAAACACACAATTCTAAATTTTCATAACTCATTTCATTACTTTTCATAAAATATTCATGATACAACTTTGCTTTACATTTAACTTCAAACTATGCAAAAACAATTTTCAAACAGTTTAATACACACACTCACTCTTTCTCACTAGAAATGTACATACTTAATCAAACTTCACAACATTTTTCCTTATTTCATTGAACAAACTTAAATACATTATATTTTTCCTTATTTCATTGAACAAACTTTTAAATACATTAAACTCATCATTTTAGCTGCCTGGTGTATTTCTTCTTGAATTCTTGTATATAAGCATGAATCAATCTCTTTTGAAAATAAATATTAGTTACTGCCCTGATCTGGACTTAGAATGGAGTGTTTTTAACACAATGTAATATATTATTGGATTCTTTGTTAAGAAAGCAGTAAAAAGTGATTTTTTTTGTTCTTTGGAGGTCCAAAAAGTAATTCTGTATAATTCTGTAAATTACAATCTGTGTAATTCTATTTTGAATTGTAGTGTACTCAAGTTGAATTAAAATTACTCTATTTCTATACTATTTATTCAAATGCATTACAAATGAACATTTCCCATGTCGGGAAATTTTAAACCATTATTTCTATAGATAAGCTGAAATTCAGATTTCCTAGAATGGGCAATGATAATATTTTCAATTTAATCAATATTTTCTAGAAAATGCTACAAAAACATTTCCTCTAGATAAGGTAAAATATATCAATGTTATAATCTCCAGGTGACTGGGCAATGCAAATTTAAACTGGAAATTCATCCATTTATATCATTCATTCTTTCAGGTAACTAAACTTCTAAAAGTTCAACATCTTATTTCTTAAACAATACAATAATATTACACTTCATATAAATAAGTGTAATTGATAAGGTACTGTCAGTAAAAAACAATACTGTACACAATTGTCCTTTCTTTCTACAAATTCTTCTCAGGCATTATCTTGTTTAGTTTGGGACTCTCGTACAGCTATCACTTGACTCCCTGGTTTGTTGGCATCACTCCCAGATGCACGTATGCCGCCCTCAGACGCAGGTGCATGTATACCGACCTCAGTCGCAGATGCATGTTTACTGCCCTCAGTCGCAGGTGCATGTATGCCGCCCTCAGTCCCAGGTGGAGGTTCCTTATAAGAAGGTTCTAAGCCATGCAGCCACCATGTCAACATATCTCCTTTACCCTGAAATATTCAATAATCAACACCTTGGTTAAAAGCTGTTGTCTGGTTTGAAATAACTTACAGCAATAAATGTTTTTGTACAATATGTTTTTTTTCCCCCTTCTTCAAACTGCATGGTCAGGTGAACTTAACAGGTGTATTGCTAGTAAACTTCTTGAATTTTTAGCTCAACTATTCGCAGAATAATCGAGCTAATGCATTTGTCGGTGTCTGCGTCCCTGTGATTAAGTTTTTGCGTGTAAGCTGGTATCTCCATAACTACTGAAGGGAATGGATTGAAACTTCACACACTTTTTCTCTGTGATTATCTTACATGATTGGCACAAGTCCCATAACTCTGATTTGCTTTTTTGCATAATTATGCCCCTTTTTCAACTTAGAAATACTTGGTTAAGTTTTTGCGTGTAAGCTGGTATCTCCATAACTACAGAAGGGAATGGATTGAAACTTCACACAGTTGTTCTCTGTGATTATCAAACATGATTGGCACAAGTCCCATAACTCTAATTTGATTTTTTGCATATTAAATTTTATTCCCCTTTTTGGGCTTAGAATTTCAAGTTCAAGTTTTTGCTTGCAAGCTGGTATCTCCATAACTGCTGAAGGGTTTGTGCCTTTTTTGGAACATTTTTATGCATTCATAATAATAAAGCAGTGATTAACTCGATAAAACATCTTAATAACAAGCCTTTGTACCTTTTCGGACAATTTTATGTATTCATATAGGTAAGCATTATTATACTCAATGAAACACCCTTGTGACAACTTTTTGAATAGTCGAGCGTATGTCCTCCGACAGTTCTTGTTCTATAAATGATGTCTAGAATTATTTGTTTGTTTTTACTATTTAGCACCAACACAAGTTAAGTCATTTGGCGCCGAAACAGGAAAAATGATTTTGGCTGACCTCAGGTTTTGCAAACTTAAAGCCACACCAGGGGTCAAAAAGTCAAAACCATCTCAACTACTAGAGCCAAGAGATGCATAGACTCCAGGAATTAGAACTCATTTAGTCGACACTTACAATCACACAGGGATAAACAGTGGCTGCAATTCTGATGCCTCAACCTTAAAGGCAACTCATCAGCCATCAGGGGGCTAAAACTAGTTGATGTAAATCATTTCCCCCAAATTCTATTAACTGTAAAATCCCGATTTAATGCTTTCGGGGGGCGTAACATTTTTCAATAATGATAAAAAAAAAAAAGATTAAAAAAAAAAAATTCTCTCTTCAAACGATGTAAAAAATCCACAAACACATCATCATCCTGCTTGCAGTTGACACCTTTGATCTTGCAGACAATCTGATCAATGCTACTTTCCTAATTTACAATGTGTCATTACAGGCCCCACTTCCAGATCTGTGTAGTTGTCTAGGCACAAAGCTATATCGATAGTGCGTGTACTGTAAATATGTTTTGTTTACCATTTAGTGTTTTTATCATTAATACTGTTTTCAAGTAGACTACACTCTGTTTTAGTCAACTTTAAAGTGTTTAAGTTTTGATTCACAGATAATTTTCATAAATGGAATGATATGGTGGTGGGGGGGAGGTGGATGGGGGTAATTAGGGTGGGGGCATTAAATCGGGATTTTGCGGTTATCTTTTTCCCATTTTATCTTATCCAGACATTCAACAATTTATCTACGAAATAAGATGCAAGCTTGAAACTATTCACAAAAGGAGTGGAGGAAATTTATTATAATTACTAATATAGTACCCTGTTTTAAATTACTATTTATCAATCGTCATTTAAATTTTCTGTATCAGTCACGTTTTAGTAAAGGACAGAAATCATTCATTATTATTATTATGTAATTAAAATTTTGGTGACAACAGAAATCCCAACGTTACCTTGACAGCAATTGTTCCTCTTTTTTCCATGTTAAACTTATTTCCATACTTGATCAACTCATTGTAGCATGGATTACTGATATGGATTTTATAAGCTGTGAAATAATAATAAAATAAGGCATTTTCATAAATGATTCAATTTGTAATTTATGATTCAAAGTTTCATTCAAAATAATCTTACATCAAAGAACTATGTGGCAACCCAAATACTTAATCTTAAATATGTTTTATCGTTTACAAGAGTAAAATTTAGAAAGGTCTAGAAAAACGTTTATTCAATGATAAAATGTCTTATCTTAGATTTAATTTCAATGCAGCCTGTATTTATATTTAGGGAAAAATACTGGTTTAAATCTGTTTAACTCAGTACCAGTCAAATAGTTTCTTAAAGCATGCATTTATGTCTGAAATTTCAATTAGTCTCTGCTAAAATGAGATTTCAGAAAAAGTGTTAAAAAAGCAAGTGCAGAAAACACAAACACAGAAAAAAATCAAGTTTTTTTTTATTCTGTACAAACCTTCACTGTTAGACTCCATTCTACTGGCAGTATTAACAGTATCTCCAAACAGACAGTACCTAGGCATCTTAATACCTACAACACCAGCACATGCTGGACCTGTAACAATAATACTTAAAATAATTAAAGGCACTTAACCTACTACAATTGAAAGTTATAAGTCTCCGACACATGTATAGAGCCAGGCCTCAGGGGTGAGACTGAACATCTCTACAGTTTGACCAGACTCTATTATTGCTGACTGACCAACTTCAAATTGTTATCTTCATATCCCATGAATTGATAATGGACAGTTTAAACAAGAGCACCACATACACTGTTAATCTTGGCAATAACCAAATTTAACAAAATTCTCAGTAAAAAATGGGTAAACTAAAAAAATATGGATTTAAGAATTATGCCCCTTGCCTAACAACTTCACCTTGTCATTATAAGCAAGTATTTAAAAATTTATGTCTATAACTTTTAAAATGTTTAAATAATGGACTTAACATAAAAATTTTGACAATGACAACACAGTGATCATATTAACTGGACTTTTTCTTCGAAACAGACGAGCTAAATAATGGATGCTGAAAAAATTCATTTACAGGGGTTTACTTAAGGTTTTGACTTTCACTTGCCCGAAGGGCAAGTAACTTTGAAAATCTACTTGCCCCCAAGAAAAACAGGTTGCCCGATCTTAAATGTGAAGATTGTTAATAATCAAAGCAAAAATTATGGGTAAAAATAAGATTTATTGCAGATCCTATCAACTTATGCCTCAGATAGTAAAATAGTCCTAAATTCCCTACTGTATATGTTTTTTTGCTTGTCAACACAACTGTCTTTGCCAGGGATCCAATAGAAATCCCTGAGATTAAATTTAGAAAAACTCCTAAATGTCAGGGATTCCTGACATCAAAATAGTAAAATGAAAATGAAGATTAACAATAGTCGTGATCTGTTAAGGCTTATAAAAATTACAGGTAATAATTAGGCCCTATTCCAGGTGCCTTTTAAAATACATTAACATTCAGATGCTATCACCTTAAAAATATTTATTCCCTATTACAACTTTAAAAAGGAAACAGTACATTGATTGTTGAAAATTGTGATAGGATTTAAATGTTTATTGTTGATTTCAAACAATGTAAAATATCAAAAATATGTTTGCTTTGTTTGCATTACCAAACTAGCTATGTACCTTTCAAATTTATTTCATTTTTAAAAACAACAAGTTGCTCCAAGTCCATGACAGGATGTGTTATACTCAATTTAAATTGATCTGTCTGATTCCTATCCTCCCTGTGTGTATTGAAATTTATTTGAAGTTTTAACCTATGTCACATCAAAGGGACTCACCGCATGCAGTAATCATACAGTTCAGAGCACTGACTGGTTCAAAGAACTGTCAGACGAAATACGTCATTTGCTGTATGTTTCACCTAGGGAGGTTTTTTTCTGTTTTGGTCGTAAATTAGGCATGACCTAGATTGACCTCAGATGACTTATAGTTACACAATATGCTGTGATTTACCAAAAAGGATTTTAGACATTATATGGATTATTTTATTCTGTTTATTAATAGATCTAGAATATTTGTAAACATTGCTGTAGGGGAGAAAGGAAAATAAATTAACAACAGTTCAAGACTATTATGATTTTTCGTCAAGATTTGTGTAAAAAAGATTACTGGTGACGAATTTTAAAAAAATTCTATAGGCCTATTGCAAATGAGTTGACGACGCCAGTTTGTTAAAGAATGACCGTACGAAGGAAAAAATAGCTAAAGGATTCAAAGGAGTAGATTTTTACGGCCTGATTTTTCTGTTCTTTTTTTAACCTTGCAGATGTGTCAGTCTTTATTGACATAACTCATTTTGAATTTTTGTGATTTTATGCTATTTATTCAGAAAATCAGATGTTTTCTTTGCCGTGGCTTTTTCTTTAATTGCTGTAGACTTTTTTCTTTTAAAAATGGGAAAACTTTCGGCGCCGCCCGCCATTTTGAAAATAAAGCAAAATGGAAAAAGTTTTTTTACGTTATTTGATTGGTTGATAGGAGTCCAACTACAATCAGAAACAGTTAAAAATACACTTGTTTGACTGTAATATGAACGGAAAGAAAAGTATTATCGGCAAAAGATATCAAAGCTAATAGAAGGCATAATGAAAATTCACTTGCCCGCCGGGCAATTTGCTTTCAAATTTCACTTGCCCGCAGCGATTTCTACCCGACGCGGGCAAGCGGGCGTCCGCTTAAATAAACCCCTGATTTAAGAAAATCAGCAAGTTTGGGGTTAAAAAGATATGAAGGGACTTTCTTCCTTATACACAGTTATTCATTAATTCATTGAAGCATTGTCTATGATCAAAATTAATGACAATTTATTATTACAACATATTCTTGATAAAATTTAGCAAGAGAAAAGACTATTATATGTACCTGTATGTAAACCAACTCGAATCTTTAGAGGTTCTTCTGGCATATGGGGAATAACAAAGGTTTCACAAGCTCTGACAAGGTCAATAGACATCTGAGCAACTTCACTTGCATGATGTTCAGTAAATATTGGAATTCCTGACACAACCATGTCTAGAAATAACAACAAATTTTCATTTTTGTAAAAGAAAAAAGTTACAAAAAGACAGTATCTAATAACTGTAATTTATGCAATTTAAAACTCCAAAGTTCAGGTGAGTCGAATTATGTTGAAAATCTTGCATATACTGCCATATACTCATTTCAAAAAAGATAACTACACTATTTAACAAATTAAAAATTTATCCGATTATTCTAAGAAATAATTTATTTTTCCTTACATTAATCAATAAAAACACTTCAGATTTTATGGAACAATTTTACTTTTTATGCTAACATTGCAAGGTTCCTCTCCACACTGACTCAAAAGATACATGCCCCAAAATTCTACCAATTGTTGTAATGAAATTAGGCATTGCTATAAACTAAATATTAAACTTACAGGCATCTCCAATTGTTTCCACTTTATACACATCATATTTGTCAATGATGTCATCAAAGGTAACATAGAGCTTGTTCAGCAGACCGACAACCTGGATTGGGGCACTTCTTCCAGAAATCGTGGTGAAACCAACAATATCACTACAATGTTAAGAATCATTTGAGTGTTATATTACAACTTAAGAAGAGAGAATTAACTTAAGATATTTGCAAGTTGGAAAATTCCATTTGTCCACCTGTATAAAAGTAGAATCTAAAGCAGTCACTGATTTTTTTACTCTTTAAATGCAAAACAAAATGAATGAAATTCTGTACCTGAAATATATAGTACAGATGTCATGGAACTTGGCATCTATAGTTTTTCCCATTCTGAGATCATCGGCAACTGCCCTTGGCAACATACCTGCAAATACATTAGAATTCTAGAATGTCAAACGGTCAGAGATTTTTCTCATGAAATAGAGTCTGTTTACTTTTTTATGCAACATTTGAATATTCCCAATTTATTCATTTTTTTTTTACTTTGTAAAGATTTCCCTTAAACAGCTCATCTTTTAGGGCATAGTCATAAAAATTTTATTGAAAAAATGAAAATGAATTAGAATTTATAATGCAAAAAATCAGGACTTTTATTTTACTTCCTCACACCAAGAAAATCGACTAATCTAAGTTCAATGCATATAAGTTTTACTGTAAATATAACAACACAATTTTCAAACTCAATGCAATGTTAAAGTTAAGAATGAAGAATATGAGATCTAAGGTTCACAAGCAGCGGATTTGGAAACACTATAGGAATAAGTTTTACAGAAAAATAGGTTGTTTATGCTGTAACAATAATTTAGTATGGTATGAATAATAAACAAATATCAATATCACTAAAACAAATGAAATTGTAAGTTGTACCGGAGTTTCCATTGACACTTTCCAGTGATTTTCCTGCTTATATAACAGACTCCAATAAAAGGCCTCTTCCCAATTGAAATTTTCTTTAAAATCATGGCCAGTTTTCCCAAAAAATCTGAACTTAAATCTGCTTTTTTACTTCCCAAATTAGCAATTTTTGCGATTTTTTTCCCAAAAATCAAGCTGCTAAGGCCTCTTCCCAATTAATTGAGAAAAATCACTGCTTTCTGTATATAAATGGCTTGGAATCAAGATGAAAAACTTCATAAGGCATTACAGAAGCATTTTTGAAAGCCTAAGAAAATAGTCATACTGGAGTGCCTCTTGTTTAACTCAATAGCAAAATGATGCTAAGAGGTGTTACTTTTTTTTAATACTAAGACATAAGAATAAATGAATGTGATCATATTAAAAACTAAGATCACTAACTGTATAAAAGACGATCTGTCTTGGCCTTCTCAGCCACTAGATCAGCTGTTCTCTCTCCTACAATGGCTTCCAAATGCTTCGAGTACTTCTCCATCTATAAAATAAAGTGGCTTAAACTTCCTGAATAACATTGCCCAGATACACAAATTTGCACATATACATGTATATATGTTAATGGAATTAAATTAAATCTTTGACTTTGTGATTATGCCTGATAGCCAGTATACTTTTATAGTCTTATAATAATGGTAGTACAAGTCTAACATCTGTATAACCTGTAACAATTAGTAATATTACCTATATTGTTAAAACTTTTTTTATTTATTTCAAAACCTAAAAACATCTTTTCACCGACAGCATGAGATGCCAAACAGTTCAAAGGTCCCGGGTTTCAACTCTTGTGAGGCTCTTTAAATTCTTTCATTTGAGAAAATTAGCTCTAAGCTTACAGGTCAATAGTTAGATTTGTACCTGAAATAAGGAAGTCCCAGGGGGGACATTGCAGGTGTAATTGAGAACTTTCCCCACTGGATATGCTGGAAATTTGCCACAAGACCTTAATAATGCTGGTGTTACTTAAAATAATAATAGTAATAAAAAAATTCCAATAAACAGTTGCCACGAATGACAAAAATATATAATAATCTATGATGACAAATAAATCAACCTACCATCGCCATCATTAAGTCAACAGCGCTCTGTTTACTTGGGTTGATCTTCTTAATAGTTGCACGGATATGTGCAAATGTTGGACGCTCTGTTGGCACGTTATTCCAACAAACATCAATCAGCTAAATTTTACAAGAAAAAAAAAGACAATTACTTCTTTTATTCCGCAGACTGTATGTAAGATATAAGATTATTACCATTCTGATGTTATACAGCTAAAATTCAAGTAAACAATCTGATTAAAATCAGCTCCTAAATAACGCTTTGCATCTAAGGATCTCATATCCACCCATAGGTAGTCACCTTTTCATGGTCTTTCAAACAACCAATCATTGACAAGCTTTTATTATTTTGAAAGAGATGTGGTTTTAATTCTAACCCTTGGAAAACCAATACTGAGTAGGTAATTTTCACGATTTCCAGATCAAACATGGCATTGTCCATAATAGCCGAGTCAGGTAAACTGGCAAAACAATCTTGTCGATTAAAATTCACTCTATCATATTTCAAATTAATTTGTTAAAAATAACTTCAAACATTTTTTTCTAACAAAAATCACCAAATTAATTGGTTTAACTTCCACAGTTAACATCAATGGCTTGTTATTTTTTCATTAAAATGAAGACATTTCATATACGTGTCAGTTTGATTTCTTGCAAGTCCCTTCAACTTGGATAAATTACAAGAGAATTCTTGAGTTTATACCTGATTGTATTGTTCAGGACAAGGGCAAATGTCATCTTTGTTATCAAACAAATCTGGATTAAAACTTGGAAGAGCAGGTTTCCATGTTGGTGATAAACTAAAGCAATCTTCATCCTATAAATAGAATAAAATATTTAGGTGCTTTCTTTAATCATTCAAACAAAAACTGTGATACTAGTGTTGGAAAATACCAGGGATTTTTTTGGCTTATTTTATAGCCAATACTCAGTCATATTCCCCAATTGAAAATAGTACCGTAAAATTCCTAATAAACGCCCCTCCCCTATTAAATTTTTAGCCCCCAGGCTTTTTGATATGGAAAAAAATCTGCTCATCAGTGGTGAATTAACTCTTTAATAAATCCATAATTTTATTCAAATCCTTCAGAATCCATTTTATTTCACAGTAAACACAAAAATGTATCACATGAACATTAAAATCTTCACACATTTTATTACCAACACTTGTTAACAATAATGTATTTTCAATGATTTTTGGATTTAGGAAAAATCATGTTGTAATAATAGCCCCCTCTTTTGGAGAATGTTAAGCCGCCGGGGTTGTTTAAGAGGAATTTTACGGTATATTATTTTCACAATACATTAGGAAAGAATTCCCAATTGAAAGTTGAAAAATTAAAATATTAAATAAAAAAATTCTAAATTTTTTGAAAATAAGGGCTTCTTCACTGTTATAGTGCGTAGCTGTTTGAAGATGCCATCCTAGACAGTGATGAATTCATTAAATCACTGTAAAATTTCAGTCATGCATTTTTTCTCATTTTTAAAAAATCATCGCTGTAATTCCCAATTCCACAGGTATGCCCGGTCATGTGGAAAAAAAATCCATGAGTACATTATTGCATTAAAACTGCACAGTTACAACTATACATTAACAGCTCAGCTTGATCAAATTAAAATGTCACATTATATTCATCATGTTAAAGTACTTTTCAAATACTATGATTGAATCCCTATAAGAAATGCATATTTCAATTTAGAGGAAGTTTGTATCATGCTCAAGAAATTTACATTCATGATATATTATTTTCATCTGCATTCAAAAATGATAGTTTCTGCAAATTATTCAAAAACTATCTGTTGTCCGAGAAAATGTCCAATTTGCATATAATCCTTTCAGACATCAAAACTGCAACTATAAAAATTACTTCAAACAAATAAATCTCTATTGCTAATTTTAGTCATATTGAAAATGTGCAATTAGATGAAAGTTTGAGGTCTTAAGAAAAATAAAGTCTCACATTTGCGAAAGATCTCATTTAAAATTGTTCAGGGATGCTAACAGGTTATTTGAAAAAAAAGGGAGGAAAATGACACAAGGGCCCATGGGGGTCGCAAAGTTCCTGGATTTTCATCTTTTCAGATGGTCTAGAATTCATTTCCTTTTAGTTTTATCAAACATTTTCATTACCTAATATTGTTTTTACATTGACTGGCTAATCTGCCGAAATTTTGTTTTCTTTCTTCATCTACAGAAAGACCCTTAGTATAATGTTACAATTGTTCGGTATAATATGTATTGCTATCGATCATTGGCTTACCATCGAAATCTGCGAAAGTTGGTGACCCCTGAATGTTGAGAAAAACTTTATTGAAAGCCAACTTTTGGGTTTTTTCTCAATTTTTGAATCCATACTTCTTTAAGGCAAGTCATTTGTTTATATCAAGCTCGGAATGCTGAATTATTTTGATGTCTGGCATTATATCGTTGACGTTATGGTTTACACTATTGAAACTGGCTTATCGTTATTCCTGGATATGATGTCTCCTAGATGTTGAGATTTGAGATATTTTTCTGCATTTATGTTCCCGTTAATTTTCTTTGTAAAAGAATTTTCAATCAAAAGGAGAACCCTTGAAAATATTAATACAAAGGTTATGTCTTAATCAGAAAACAGATATAAACTATTTAAAATCTTTGATATAGAAAATATGCCTGAAACATTAAACAACAACTCAACATAGGAATTCATGTAAACTACAGTAGTAACATTAATTATACAGTAATAAATACAATGTAATTTATTTATTTCATAATTTCTATTTTATCTACTAGCTCACCCCATAAGGATCGTTTCTTATTGCAATTTCAAGCATAATTATTGCGAAGGCGTAAACATCACCAGGCATTGTTGCATGGTAATCATATGGGTCAGCATCTCCGAATTCCGGTGCCATGTAGATACGTGTACGTTGAATTCGGTAAGCCTTCTCTTCTAGTTCCATTGGATCAGTGATATGATTAAATCGTAAAGTGTTTAATCCAAAATCTGAAATAAAGTTAATTTCAAACTAATATTTCTATTTTATTATTACTATTAGAAACTGCACAAAATTATTGTTTAAGAGATTTTCCTGGGATAAATTTTTAATGTATGGTAACATTAACAAGAGTACCATAGGGGTAAATTATAAACACTCAACTAAGATAGAGACCCATGCACTCAAAAATATTTTTCCAAACTGTAAGTATGTTTTATGTCATAACAAGTGATAAGTTTAATTGGCCATCAGTAATGTCCCTACCAAGTTTCAAAAACCTAGGCTTATTTCTTCTTAAGTTTAACTAACCATATAACACATGTGACATTGACCCTAGACTAAACGATCTTAAAATCTAAAGCGGTACCGGTAATCTACTAGCCATGACCAACCTCCTTACTATGTGAAGACCTTGAGCACACTTATTATGTTATTCAGCAGACACTGATATGTCTTATACTGACAGACGGACAATTATGCCATGTCAAGTTGTAACCTTTGAGCATATAAACAAGAAAAATATTACATACATTCGTATGTAATATAGGTACGATTGCATACTACTTTTTGTGAAGACTTTATGTTTGCTGAATTAAAGGTGTAATGTAAAATGAACAATGTCACAAGATGTTTTATATCTTTAAACATTTTCATGGAATGTAATTAATGTATCACCATATTAAAGTTGCATGCCTTCAGATGAGAAAAATGATTTCAAGGAAATCAAAATATGAAAAGAAAATTCACGGTCAATTGACTGCTTTGAAGCATAATCACAAAATAAAATTACAGGAAATTAAAAACCTTTTTAATACACTTAAGGTAGAATTTCATTGTAAATCATAGTCAAAGATTTGAGATATGATTATTTATTCATATTAACATCATTATTGGTTACATATTGATAAAACAAAACCCCGAAAGACACAGTTTGTAAATATTTATTACAATAAAATATGAAAAAGGTATACGCGCCGAGGTAAGCTATAATTAAAATTCCCGCGCTAAGTCGCGGTGGTGCTTGGGATAATCACTTGATACTGTAAATGGCAGCCATTTTACGATACGAATCCTCGGACAGTTTATCCTGCCGAAAAGATATGAAAAAATACTTGCAATTCAAAGTTTGCTGGCTACATAAAGATTATCGATTTACTCTTTGCACACTTTTTCCCTGCCTGAGTTTAATAATATTGACGTGTTTTCATTGGCTTAAACCATCGCGTTACCAATACACATGTAGGTGTGAACTAATTTCGTGTTCATTAAAATTATTCCGTTAATAGACATATAACAATCTTATTTACAAATGAATTGATAAAACAACAATCCCAGAAGCATTTAAGATAATAACAATCATTGGAAAAAAATAAATGCATATAAATTGTAAATTTGTGTATGACAACTCAACCCCCTAAACAAAACATAATAGACTCAACCAAAACAAGCGCCTGCTTCTTCACCTAACATGACCATGATTAGCAATTTAGCAAAACAAATCTAAGAGATAAACCTATTGTAAAAATAATACTATGACCACAGCAGATTTCGTACAGAAAACCTGAACCACCATTTCTGCCAGAAATCATTTTATTTGTTTGAATCGTTTAACACTTTTTTAACTGGTTAATAAAGCAATATTTTCACTGATCTTGATTTTTTTTATCAGAGCCATGTAAAAACAGCTAAATTAACCTGAAATTTTTACTGTCCATCTGTCATCCACTACGCAGTTGTTAGAAGTCAGTCGACCATGGATTATTTTTCGAGAATGAAGATATGCCATGCCTCTAGCGATGTCACCCTCAAATGAAAACCTGAGAATACAAAAATATCAAAGTCAGAGCTTTTTACGTCTTATCCTCCAAAAAAACTCTTTAAAAGAATGCAGTTTTACCATGACATTTTATTCACATAAGATTTTTGTGCCATTTTTACAATTAACAAACAAGAAACATGGCAATGCCATGAAACCAGGTTTTCAATTATCACCATTGTAGATAAATATGTTGTATTTGAAATACAAATACAAGCAACAAACAATGTAACTATGTGCAATGTAAAACATGAATAATGTAGGAGGAATTGCCACTGAAGAAGTGTTCACTATAATATTATGTATAAGGAAAAAAACAAAGGGCCATAATTAGGTCAAAAACTATCCAATCACAAAACCCCGACAATATGTGCCAGGGTGCTTGATGACAAAGCTTCTGTGAAAGTTTGAACAAAATCCGTTGAGAAATGTAGGACGAGTTCAGCACAGATGAATTTGTTCACTATAATTATATTGATAATTCTGTATAATGAAAAACAAGTTACAAAGTAGACATGAAATAATATATCATATCTTTTTTAAATTACCTCCAAAGATGATATGACCTTTGACTGCCAAATCAAGTTAAAATCATGTAAACAGGATTTTCAATGTTAATGTCACTGTGACCTTGACCTTGGAGCCAGCCATGCGGAACATGCGTTCTGCACGTCATCTTGATGTGGTAAACATTTGTCTGAAGTTTCATCAAAATTCTTCAAAGGGTTGAAGAGTTACAGAGCGGACAGGATTTTCAATGTTAATGTCACTGTGACCTTGACCTTGGAGCCAGCCATGCGGAACATGCGTTCTGCACGTCATCTTGATGTGGTAAACATTTGTCTGAAGTTTCATCAAAATTCTTCAAAGGGTTGAAGAGTTACAGAGCGGACACAATTTCATTTGACGCCTGAAGTTAAAATCATGTAAACAGGATTTTCAATGTTAATGTCACTGTGACCTTGACCTTGGAGCCAGCCATGCGGAACATGCGTTCTGCACGTCATCTTGATGTGGTAAACATTTGTCTGAAGTTTCATCAAAATTCTTCAAAGGGTTGAAGAGTTACAGAGCGGACAGGATTTTCAATGTTAATGTCACTGTGACCTTGACCTTGGAGCCAGCCATGCGGAACATGCGTTCTGCACGTCATCTTGATGTGGTAAACATTTGTTTGAAGTTTCATCAAAATTCTTCAAAGGGTTGAAGAGTTACAGAGCGGACACAATTTCGTTTGACGCCCGAAGTTAAAATCATGTAAACAGGATTTTCAATGTTAATGTCACTGTGACCTTGGAGCCAGCCATGCGGAACATGCGTTCTGCACGTCATCTTGATGTGGTAAACATTTGTCTGAAGTTTCATCAAAATTCTTCAAAGGGTTGAAGAGTTACAGAGCGGACAGGATTTTCAATGTTAATGTCACTGTGACCTTGACCTTGGAGCCAGCCATGCGGAACATGCGTTCTGCACGTCATCTTGATGTGGTAAACATTTGTCTGAAGTTTCATCAAAATTCTTCAAAGGGTTGAAGAGTTACAGAGCGGACAGGATTTTCAATGTTAATGTCACTGTGACCTTGACCTTGGAGCCAGCCATGCGGAACATGCGTTCTGCACGTCATCTTGATGTGGTAAACATTTGTCTGAAGTTTCATCAAAATTCTTCAAAGGGTTGGAGAGTTACAGAGCGGACACAATTTCGTGTGACGCCCGCCCATCCGCCCGCCATACCCCAATCTAATAACCAGGATTTTCAAAATTGAAAACCTGGTTAAAAACTGTGCTTATTTTTCCCTAGTATAAAGGAATTTTAGGGCTCCTAAATCCCTAACTTGTGAAAAAAAGTTCTGAAATGTGAAATATTTTATATACATATTTTAGTCTATTAATTCATGAGACAAGTAGTAATCTATCAAGAAATCTAGCTTCATCCTAATAAGGCTTGAAGGAAGATGTGGTATTTGTTGACAGATGGTTAAACAAACGAGGTACATTTGTCCTCACTCCCACTGTTAAGTCCTGAACTGGCCTCGAGGTTATAAAACTTTTTTTGGAGCTTTTGTCATGAATTTCAGGATTTTTATTGGTCAGGGTAACATATACCTCAAAATGTGGTCTCTTACCTTAGGTAAGAGAATGTAAATTTAGTGCCTTTTCTTATGATATTTTACAATGCAAAAATGTGCATTATCCAATGATGTTAAAATTCAGTCATTCTGTGAAATAATTACTATAATTATTGATTTTATTTTTCTTCTAGGATTTGAAATAGTCAAAATAGTCAAATAGTGAAAAAAATCTAATGTTCAAATTACAATCAATAAAATCTAGCATATTTAAGAAATAATATATCCCAAACTGTGATTTTATTACTCAATAACATCACTGTTTGGAGTTTCGGATACAAGGAATTATATCACGAGGGCGTATCCCGAGTGATATAATGATGCGCATCCGAATGACAAACTGATGTTTCTCCAGGGATAAAATCACCGATTTGGATATATTATTTCAATTCTAACACAAGTCATCAACAAATAAATGCTGCCGTACCTGATATTTAAAGCAAAATTGCGCCTGATTTGTTTCCGTACTTTATAATTGTCAACGCGTCGGATTTCATAGTGGTTACGTCACATGTATAATGATTACGTCACATGTCTAAATATAGAACGTCAAACAGTGATTTTATAGCATAATAACACACACTTTCGGTTCTTCTATGTTCAATAGGGAAAAATGCTGGTCGTGTTAGAATACTCAAATAATACATTCTTATTGAACAATAAAAGAACTTACAAGCACAATACGATGACAAGTTACCTGAAAGCCCAGTTAAGTGGGACCTCCTCATTGAGCAGAACATCTGAAAGACTTCCCTTAGGACAGTACTCACACAGTATACACATGTTTGGAATCTCGATGCAAGCACCAACAAATTTACACAAGTTTACATTGTCACATTCTCTAGAAAAAAGTACAAAAAATTTCTTTCCTTATATGATTTATACAAAGAATTTTCAAAAATCTTGTGTATGAATTAAGTAAAATTACAATGGTTCATGTCCAAATTTATGAGAGCAGTTTAGATTATTTTGAAGTCCCATTCATTCTTCTCATTTTTTCTCTCTCAATATTTTGGATACTAGTGTTACAAAAAGTCCCCTGATTAGAAAACACTTAAGTTTAAATAATTAGACAAATTTTGGGAAAAATAGGATTTTCAAGAAAATGGGAATGCCTCTCCAATAATCAAAACAAGTTAAACATAAACATTTCTTGAAGTTACTGATTTTCATTTTTTTTTGTTTTGTAAAAAAGTTCATGAGATTCTAGAAGTGACAGGGCCGGCAAAATCTCAGAAAATTGTACTTGTCCACGGACAAGTAACCTGAGAAATTTACTTGTCCGTACTCAATGTTCACTTGTCCGTATTTATATTTAATATTTACTACAAATGTCAATAAAGAAGAGCAATATGATTAAGAACTTTCTTTCAATTTTATTAAACATTCTGTGCCATATGTTTAATAATATAATATATTATGATTATAATATAATATATTTATAAAATGTTAAGATTAAAGTAGAACAACAGTGATCGACAAATTGTGTATATTTTACTGGAAGGAGCATTGGTCTTTGACTTTTGCCAGCACTTTTTCAGTTTTCCTTGCACCCAAATTGCTCTAAAATATTGTCTTCATTTTTTTGCACTCTGGTACCATTTCTTATTTATTCACTCCTTATTCTATTCATCTATATAATATTCATTTGAATCCTGTTAAAAAATCATATGTACTCTTGAGTTAGATTTGTCAAATTGATGACATCTGTTTTTTTTTAACGATATTATAATGATTGCCACAGAATGTAATATCATATACGTATATTTGGTTGCAGCAGATGAATTGTGAAAATTTTGACATCATTATCATCGACGACGAAGAAACTGACATGTAAACATTAACACCAGTATTAGACATTCAAAAACAAAGGCATTTTCACAAGAAATCTTTACATAAAATAAATTATAAAATGACTTTGTCCACATAAATTCAAGCAGTCAAATTGCCGATGTGAGCGTAAATATTCCCGAATAACCTGGAAAAGCTATACAATGTATTAAATTTTCATACGACACAGCGGTATTTGAAAGACAATTGTTGCGAGATCGATGCTGTGTCTGCTATCTAAACAATACATGCGCTTGAAAAGACCACAACTTCCAAGTCAATTTTATGGCAGAATCCCCGTTGCTACCGAAAATATTTTATTGCAGAGGCTAAGTCGGCAGTCATAAACCAAAACAAACATGTACCCACATAGTGACCTTGATAAGTTCAATAATTAGTTAATTGCCGCGCGCATGCAGTAACTGCATGACGTAAGGAAAACCCCAAGCCTGGTTGGTCGCTATTTATGTAAACACTTAAAATAGTAACACCCTAATATGCACGGAATGCCCTCAGGAATGACACCACACTTCACACGCTAGTTTTCGTATTAAAAGTGCGATTTTTCTTCTGCTTTAGGTCCATTAGAAAAGAGCTAGATTTTTTTATTCAGAATTCCTCTTTTAGCCGCCGAAATTTACTTGTCCACGGACAAGTAAACTGCAGAATTTTACTTGCCCAGACCTACAATTTTACGTCTCGGGCAACTCGGACAATTGATTTTGCCGGCCCTGAGTGAAATTAAATACACAATTTTATTTTACTGATGTGAATACTAAACAGTGGACTTGAATGAAATAAGCAGAACAGACCTGATCCATGACAAAATTGACTATTGTCTTACTTCAATTTTCTATTTTCCAAAAATGGTAGCTAAACAAGTTTAACAAATTCAGCAGGCTAAGGTAAACTTTGCAGGTCAATACTTTGTAGATATTATAAAAAAAAAAAATACAAAAATTTCTAGGTTAGAGATTACTAGGACAAATATTTCAGACAAATCATACATCATCTTAAAATTGTTTGATCTTTCACTGGTTTCTGTCTTGCTAAACAATATGTTCTTGCAATTTTTTTCAAACAAAAGAATTGATTTGTAACTCTTGTGATCCTATTTCCCCCACCCTGCCATCCAAATGCTTCTTCAATTAAAAAAACTAAAGTATCAGTTTACCTTATTTCTCTGACTTCCAGACGGACTTTCTTTGTAAGACTGAAGTCTTGTTTAGTAACAGATCTCACAGCACATGTTCTGCCATCACTTCAAATTGACAAATTTATAATTTCATGGTATAATATTGTTTAATTTAATTACATTATAAAAACAGAACATTGTGTTACAACTCAAATTCCTAAAACATTTTACTTTCTACTTAAGTAAACAAAGACTTTGTAAAAAAATTACCTGAGCGTCCCCCACCTTAGGAAAGTTTTACATATTAACAGACCATGTAAAGCTTTGACCCCCAAGTTTGACCTTCAACTAAAAGTTGTTAAATTTTCCATAACTGAAATGTTGCATATAAGATATTAATTATGTACAAACTTATATTCATTTCAAAAGGCTAATTGATTATTTCCATTTCATATCATCTTTTGTTGTCAAAATCTTATGTAAAAAAATTGCTAGTGTCAAAAAAAAGAAAAAAAAGTTAAATTGGACACATGAAAATTACAAAAAAATGACAAGGAAAGATTTATACATTGTCATTCTCATTAACCTTTTGGAAAAAAAAAAGTCAATTAGGTCATTTACTTCTAAGAGTATGCAGCATTATATAATCAATATATACTTACTATTGGCACGTCTGTGCAAACACTTGTTTTCCTCCTGTTTGCATTACACTAACACCACCTTCTGACTGTTTCTTATTTAACTCTACAGCACTTCCTATCATACTACCAAATGCTCCACGCAAACCTTCATCTATAAAATGTCATTTGTAATCAGTTGGTTAAAAAATTGAAAAGAAAATCGTATTCAGAGGCACTTTAATTTTCATTGTTACATTACGTAACAGTGTGCTAATTATAACGCAGGCCTCGACAATTCCACTAGGCGCTCGCATTTGCGAGTGAAAGTTTGGGTTGGCGAGAAAATTTTTTTTTCCTGATCCAAATGATGTTCCTCTTATTACATTTAATGTAAATGAAATTTTCAGTAAAAAAAAATCAAAGTGCTGCGACGCCATTTCAATCGTAATACTGTCAATTGAAAACAGGAAATTGACCTTATGACTAGGTATAAAACTTGACTGAACACGTATGATGAACAATTCCATAAAAGAACAGCAGCATTTGACAATGTTTCATTTATGTACATATGTGTTTCGAAATGTTTTATACCTAGCCCTTAGGTCAATATTATAGCTGAGTGGGCGCGTGCGTAAGAATTTAAATGTAATTAGTATTCAGGTTATGTTGAAGATAAATAAAAAGAATGAAAAGTATTATCAACTTTTTTTAACAATATGTAAATGCCAATAAAGCCAATTTAATTGATACAGATATAGACCGGTAAATAGTAATTTAGAGCCTTATGCATGTTTGATTATTACAAATTTTGTCCATCAAAATGCGAGTAAATTTTAAGGGTAACTAAATGCCTCAGGCCACTCATGCCTCCTTCCAATAAAGCTATTCGTTAAAATCATACAATTTCCCCAAAAACTTAAATGTACACTAGCTATTTTACTTCCAAAATTTGCAATTTTAGTGATTATTTTTCCCCAAAAACAAGAAGTTAACTGTCCTCTTCCTAATTTAGTGACAGAAACCACTGATCAAAATAAACTAATATTTTACCTAGTTTGACATCTTCAAATGGTACTATCCATGTCTCATCCCAAAGTAACTTTCTTCTCTGCCAAGCAAAGTACTGAAATCATAGAAATAAACATTTAACTCACTGTTTAATGTCATCTATTTATTTCAAAGAGAAAATAAAGTTCTAAAACTGAGCAAAAAAAGGAAGTGCCAGCTATCACTGAACGTATAAGACCAGGGCATTTTTTGTCAAAATTGTGAAGGGGCCTGTTCATTTTGTGAAAAAAAAAGGCATGACATATCATAAAATTGTGAAAAAAAAAAAAAAAAAAAAAAAAAAAGGTCGCTCACCTGTATAAAGGCACCTGGAGCGGGGCCAGTTTAAACCCCAGGGCTTTTATTTGAACAAACTTGGAAGACACCCATTAGAAGATGTTTCACAATGTTAAGTTTTTACTACACACATATAATGAAAAAATAATGATCTACCCCCCCCCCCCCCCCCCCCCGTCAGGGCCAATTATTTGAACAAACTTGGTAGACACCAATAAGAAGATGTTTCATGCTAAACATCTAAGCTCTAGCTCATTGGGTTTTTTTAAAGAAGATTTTTAAGTTTTTACTATACACATATAGTTAAAAACAATGACACCCCTGGGGCAGGGCCAGTTTTGACCCCAGGGCTTTTATTTGAACAAACTTTGTAGACACTTACTAGAAGATGTTTCATGCTTAATATCTAAACTCCAGCTATTTGAGTTTTTTCAAAAAAGATTTTTTAAGTTTTTGCTATACACATATAAGGAAAATCAATGACCCCCGGGGCGGGGCCAATTTTGACCCCAGGGCTTTTATTTGAACACTTGGTAGACACCCATTAGAACATGTTTCATGCTAAATATCTTAGCTCTAGCTCTTTGAGTTCTTTAAAAGAAGTTTTTTAAGTTTTTACTATATGCATATAGGGAAAATCAATGACCCCCTGGGGCGGGGTCAATTTTGACCCTAGGGCTTTTATTTGAACAAACTTGGTAGACACGCATTAGAAGATGTTTCATGCTAAATATCTTATCTCTAGCTCTTTGGGTTCTTTAAAAGAAGACTTTTTAAGTTTTTACTAAATGCATATAGGGAAAATCAAAGACCCCCTGGGGCGGGGCCAATTTTGACCCCAGGGCTTTTATTTGAACAAACTTGGTAGACACTCACTAGTGTTTCATGCTTAATATCTAAACTCTAGCTATCTGGGTTTTTTCAAAGAAGATTTTTAAGTTTTTGCTATACACTGTCATATAAGGAAAATCAATGACCCCCGGGGCGGGGCCAATTTTGACCCCAGGGCTTTTATTTGAACAAGCTTTGTAGACACTCACTAGAAAATGTTTCATGCTTAATATCTAAACTCCAGCTATTTAGGTTTTTTCAAAGAAGATTTTTTAAGTTTTTGCTATACACATATAAGGAAAATCAATGACCCCCGGGGTGGGGCCAATTTTGACACCAGGGCTTTTATTTGAACAAACTTGGTAGACACCCATTAGAACATGTTTTATGCTAACTATCTTAGCTCTAGCTCTTTGAGTTCTTTAAAAGAAGATTTTTTAAGTTTTTACTATATGCATATAGGGAAAATCATAACCCCCTGGGGCGGGGCCAATTTTGACCCTAGGCCTTTTATTTGAACAAACTTGGTAGACACTCATTAGAAGATGTTTCATGCTAAATATCTTAGCTCTAGCTCTTTGAGTTCTTTAAAAGAAGATTTTTTAAGTTTTTACTATATGCAGATAAGGAAAATCAAAGACCCCCTCGGGCGGGGCCAATTTTGACCCCAGGGCTTTTATTTGAACAAACTTGGTAGACATTCACTAGAAGATGTTTCATGCTTAATATCTAAACTCTAGCTTAATTTGGGTTTTTTTCAAAGAAGATTTTTAAGTTTTTGCTATACAAAAAATCAATGACCCCCGGGGCGGGGCCAATTTTAACCCCAGGGCTTTTATTTGAACAAACTTTGTAGACACTCACTAGAAGATGTTTCATGCTTAATATCTAAACTCAAGCTATTTGGGTTTTTTCAAAGAAGATTTTTTAAGTTTTTGCTATACACATATACGGAAAATCAATGACCCCCTGGGCGGGGCCAATTTTGACCCCAGGGCTTTTATTTGAACAAACTTGGTAGACACCCATTAGAACATGTTTCATGCTAAATATCTTAGCTCTAGCTCTTTGAGTTCTTTTAAAGAAGATTTTTTAAGTTTTTACTATATGCATATAGGGAAAATCAATGACCCCCTGGGGCGGGGCCAATTTTGAACCTAGGGCTTTTATTTGAACAAACTTGGTACACACTCATTAGAAGATGTTTCATGCTAAATATCTTAGCTCTAGCTCTTTGGGTTCTTTAAAAGAAGATTTTTAAGTTTTTACTATATGCATATAGGGAAAATCAATGACCCCCTGGGGCGGGCCAATTTTGACCCCAGGGCTTTTATTTGAACAAACTTTGTAGACACTCACTAGAAGATGTTTCATGCTTAATATCTAAACTCCAGCTATTTGGGTTTTTTTCAAAGAAGTTTTTTTAAGTTTTTGCTCATATACACATATAAGGAAAATCAATGACCCCCTGGGGCGGGGCCAATTATGACCCCAGGGCTTTTATTTGAACAAACTTGGTAGACACCCATTAGAACATGTTTCATGCTAAATATCTTAGCTCAAGCTCTTTGAGTTCTTTAAAAGAAGATTTTTAAGTTTTTACTATATGGATATAGGGAAAATCAATGACCCCCTGGGGCGGGACCAATTTTGACCCCAGGGCTTTGATTTGAACAAATTTGGTAGACACTCATTAGAAGATGTTTCATGCCAAATATCTAAGCTCTAGCTCTTAGGGTTTTTTTAAAGAAGATTTTTTAAGTTTTTCCTATTGGTTGCCATGGCAACCAGAGTTTTTAATGGAATTTAAATTTTTGAACAATTTTGGAAGGGGTCCATCTAAGAATCATTTCTGTAAAGTTGCAATTGGCCATGTGGTTTAGGAGATGTTGTTTGAAAAGTTTGACGCCATTTTTTGAAGGACGCACGACGGACGCAGAGTGATGACATTAAAAAAATGACATATTGCTTGGCATTTTGCCCTGAAGACAGCCATTATTATACAGGGTTCCCACTCTTAGATATTTTGAAAATTTAAGGACTTTTCCAGGACTTATCAAGGACCTTTTTTGATTTTTTAAGGACTTTTTAGAAGATTAAATTTCACGCTATTCAATTTTTTGTCCTATGAATATTTTCATGGTTACAGTACAGATATCGAGGAATGTGCAAATTCCTGCGAGTATCGAGTAATCTCAAAAAGCGTGACTCCGAGTGGATTATAAATTTCTAGGGTGAAAAAGAGTGACTCCGAGACAAAAACGAGTGACAATTTTGTCCGCGGGACTCCGTGAATCTCGGAGTCAAAAAGAGTGACTCCGAGAAAATAAGACTGATTTGGTACACGTATGCTTTATTTATTTATTTATTTATTAATATAATGCTCTACCTCTAAAATAAAATCCTTCAACGCATGTATTATTTATTCAAAATAACAATGTTGTCGAAAATTCTTCGTTGATGTAAAGTATCACAAGTGAAAACGAAAGTAGACACACTTGATTCATTAATTAATTAAAGGAAAGAATAACCGATGATTTCCCGCAATTCCCGTAACGCGCAGTGTCAAAAACCTATTTAATTTAGTATTCTAAAATAAGAAAATATAGATGAGCTTCTTTTTTGCATTGTTTATACAAATTTATAATTATTATGTAAGCAAAAAAAGAAGAAGAAAAAAAGGAAATACATGGCAAAACAACCACGTGCTTAGGTCAATTCATTCCATTAATTGACATACTACCCGGGTGTAGATTTTCCGAGGTTTATGAAAAAAACCATGGAAACTGCTTCAAAAACCTTGGAAATAAACCAGTTTTACAAGGTTTTTTCTTAATTCCGAGGTTTTTTTTAAAACCTTGGAAACTTTATCCAAGGTTTTTGTATAAAAATCCTTGGAAATAAAGAAAACCTTGGAAACTATCTCGGAATTAAACACTCTGCCAAAAATCAGCTCGGAAAAAGCTTGGAAATAAGAACTTTGTCATTTTTTTGCTCGGAAAAGAACTTAGAAAATTTACGTAAAATTTGTTGGAAACACTTTGCCAATATTTAGCTTGGAAATGACCTCGGATAATTGAACTTAACTAAATTTCATATCGGAAAATGTTAAGACATAATCATGATTTAACTTATAATGGGCATCAAAAGCAATAATCAACAGTTAAAGCAAACTAAGATAACAACCCAACTGTAGATTGCCAATGGATATTTCTTAATCCATGGTCAGAGCAAACAATTGTCCAACAGCATGGAAAGGAGAGATTTGGTCCAGGGAATCAATTTTTAGTAATTCCTTTTCAATAAATTGGTACTTTAATCTTCTGAAGCCATTTTTGTGGGAGGAATCAATTAAAAAAATTTAAGTGTGAAAACATGGAAAAGTTAAATAAAATGTAAATTCCTTGTTGCCATAAAATACCTTTTATTAATGGCTATAAAGGTATTGTAACTAATCATAATAAGATAAAGATTATTCAAATAACTGATGATCAGAAAGACTTGAAAACTATTTTTTTTTTTATTTTCATATTTTTTTTTATATTTCTTATAATTATTGTTACTAGATATCTTCTCCATTTTTAAGAATAGATAAAAGAGCAAAACTTATAATTATACAAAAACAAACAATCAGTGTTTATGTCTATTAGTTTCTAAATGCATCAGTATTTTTCCTGCAGTTTCTTTCTATATATAGACTTAACTTAGGGTTTCTTGACAGCCTGTAAGCAACACTGAAATAAGAATGCTATTAATCTTTAATATATGTTTTTATGCCATATAAAATAGTATATTCTACTAAGCAAGTCTGTGACATACATTCAGATTACAATTTACTCTGCCATTAATTATGTGTACAATAAACATAAATAGTTATTAATTGTCCTTTTAATATATAATTATGTACAATTAATGTGTAAAATATGTATGCTTGATACTTTCTTATAATTAAGATAAATAAATACAGTGCATCCACTAAGTTTTCACACACAGAATATAACACACTGATCAGATAAAACTAATGGCACCCCAGGTGGTTCCCTCTTATAATCTATGCATGATCAATCTTCTCATTGAGCATTCTGGGATAGAACAGATTGTTCCATGTGATTATTCAGGGGGAGTCTGGGTTTTTATACAATCCAAAACAGTCTAAAATGACACTGCAACTGTGATTCTCTTATAATTTTCAAGTTTTACTTTTATTTATCATTTGATATATTTGTACCTTCAATAAAATTAATGTAAAAATAAAATGATGATGGCTTTGATATTTTGGGATCACCCCTGTTTCACATTATGATTGCCCCTTCAGTTATACTGTTGAAAAATTTGAATCTCAGACATTAATGGGTCAAGTGGTTATAGTTGGAAGTAGTGCAAACCTGGATTTATTTTAAGCAATTTTGGACATATCTTGTTTTAAATGTTAGGGAGCATATTTTGGAATTTTCAAAGAAAACATTTATCTAAGTGTGACAAGATTCAGGAAATGTTTGGTTGTTGTAATTGAACCTAAAGATCAATGACCTGGGACAGGAAGATAAACAAAAGAAACATGATAGTAAAAAGGTTCAGGTAAATAATTTTAGATACATTTATGCATAAAATCTGTTGTTGTTTTTTTTTCAAATAAGTATTAAATACAAACTATTTTAGATCTATATTTTTAACCTAAATGTAAGCTAGTTTAAATACAATTGTTTAGAGGATATTTTAAGAGTATTAATGTTATTTTTGTCTATGATTGTATTGAACAAGATGAGTGCATGAAACTATGATGACATTATTTATAAACTCAAATTCATCTTTCATCTATTATTTGAATCTACAAATTTTTAATTACAGAGTCAGCTTGAAAGCAAGTTTGCAAGACTGTTCCAAACTACAAGAAGATGGCAATCCAGCTTTGCTGTGTTTTTAAATATCATAGTATATCATTGGCATCCAGGCATCGATTAAGCCAACTGTAGACCAGGAAAGGCTTCAAGGAATATACTACAGTATGTTTTTGTTTTAAAACTAGGTTTTGAAAGTTTCAATTTGAAATTTGAATGAATGAAGGTTTCTGGAACTGATTTTTTTATTGATATGCTGTTAATGTTGGAAATGCTGTTAATGTTACATGATGACTCTCCAGCTTTATTGATACAGATGTCACTTTGAGCAGACAGATACAATAAGTGTAGGCAATGGGAATCACCTTATGAAAAGCGTTATTTTTTGCAATATTTTTAGAGTGCTTTAGGTTGTAACATCCAGTATGACACTATCTAAAAGAGACATCGTTTCTTTTCTAAACATCGCAGAATTGTCACACTGCTTACCAAAGTTTTCTTGAAATCCTGACACTAAGTACTGATGAAGAAAAATAAGAAATCAACATGAAAAAAATTAAATTCACTATTTCAAAACAGTAGACCAATATTTTAAAGTAACTACAGAAAAGGTCATTTGAAAATATTAAAGCCTTCATTTTAATCAATGGTCTTGAACAACTTGTAATTCAAGTAGTTTCGGATCACTCAAAAGATGTATTTCTTTTCACAAAAGTGCTGATTTTTTAAAACAATATATATCAACAGTGAACTGATATTTTTGTCTATGGAAACGTTTCAGGAATGTATCATTTTTTTTATTGATTAATAAAAAAGAAATTAAATGATGTAATTCTGATTGCCTACACATACTGAACTGTCCTGAGTATAACCACAGGTGTTCCTTAATCCTGGGCTGGATAGCTCCCTCAGAGGGAAGAAGCCCATCCTGGCTTCAGGAGTCAAAAATACAATGTTGTAAGGCAAGTAGTTTGAAGTCTTTGATCCTGACCACATGGAGAGGGAAGCGCCCAATGGAGAGGGAAGCGCCCAGTGGTGATTTTATATAATTGTTTTTCTAACTTCTTTCAATGGCTGTACTTTATTAAATGTTTACTTTATTTATTTCAGGAATTGTATCCTGGAGCATTTTCCACATGTGACCCCTGTGATGGTGAGGGAAAAACTAAGGGACATTTAAAAATCATGAAGAGTGAACAGGAATTCAAAAGATAGATATTTGAATACATTAAAATTTAACCGGATACCAAAATATTATAACTGAACATTGAGTGTAATATTTACCATTAAAGACTTCTAACTTAACTTTTCATTTGTAGTGCATTACTATTTACTTCACACTGACATTAAATGTTTCAGTGAGTCATGTGATCATTTTTTGCTCTGTATTATTACAAAGAAGTTTCTTAATTCCTTAAAAGGACAATATAATTGCTCTTTTCAGAATATTTCATTGGATGTTATATTTTCTGATTTTCCATGGATATTCTAGAAATTTCCAAGGTTTTTGCTCAAATAAACCTTGGAAAATTCTCTGATGCCCTTAAGTAAGAATCCTCGAAAATATAACAGTATTCCCAGTTGTGAGAAACTTTCCGAGGTTTTCATTTAAAAACCTTGGAAAACAAACCACGGAAACACTTTAAAAATCCTTGGAAATCGTTCCAATACTCCGAGGTCACTCATTTTCCAAGGTTTTTTTAAAAAAAATCCTCGGAAATTATTTTACGAGGTTTTTATTCTGAAATCCTTGGAAATCGTTCCAATACTCCGAGGTCATACTTTTTACGAGGTTTTTTTAAAAAAAAAACTCGGAAATTTTTTACAAGGTTTTTCACCCTCTCCCTATTTTTCCAAGGTTTTTTTAATAGCAAAGTTTTGCAAATTCTTGTTCCAATACTCCGAGGTTTTTTTCCAAGGATTTTGAGCCAAAAACCTTGGAAAATCTACACCCGGGTATCGTAAGGGAAATTATACTTTGTACCAGAACTGAATAAAAAAACAACATTTTCTTTAAGACAGTTTACAAATTATTCTTCAGTGAAATGCATCTGCCTTGGAAAGTAAACTTCTGAAGAAGGTAATTTTATACTTTTAAGTCAGGCTTTTAGATAAATTGGTACCAGTTACATAAATGATACCAAACTGATTTCCATGTGAAGTACACGTACGTCTCCTTTTAATTGTTGGTTGATAAAAAATCCGTGAAATACGAGATGTAATACATCATTCCATACAATGCACTAGCCAAAACAGCGACACCCTATGTCGGCATGTACAGTCCTGCTTTTAATATTAATGTATTAATTTATTTTACTATTGCTTTCAGAACAATATAGTTCTAACAGAGTTAAGAAGTTCGATCTGCTAAGCAATTCTACCGATGTTGGCAGCACAAGAAAGGACATCATTAAGGAAATCATTTATGAAATTCTACCGATGTTTGCAGGGGGAAAACAACAGGCACTGCGTCGTCTCAAACATAAAACCATGAATTATAAAACAGCAACAAGAAAATTGAGATTGGCAGTGATTTTTAAAGGCATCCCGGTCTTTTTAAATCCACATACGTACATGTACAATGCATGCCCGCTTTCTGTGAAGGTCAAATATGTTCATATGCTATAATAAAAATGTTGTTTTAATTTATCGTCTATGAACAGTACATGTACGTGAAATCGGAAGTAGAATAATCTTTGTCAAAACTGTTTTTTATTTTTATAAAATGACATGATATAGACGATGTACACACCATAAACAAATAAAGCAAAAAGAAAAGGAAAACAAGCAAATAAAATGATCATTTTATTCTTTGCTGTTTTTATTTTTTGTCAATATTTGTAAAGCTGATTACAGGTGAATGAATTACGGGAGCAGTGCACTAGGTAAGTTGAACGGCCTCTGTCAACTTGCAATTTGTTAACTCCTCTATAACTTGAATTCCTCCATAATGCCTGAAATAAAAAAACAACAACAAAAATCTTAATTTATTAATGATCATCACAAGACAATTTACTTTTGATTCCAATATCAACATACATCTACATATGACTTTGATAACAGAATGAGATCGACAGATTTTTCGGAGCTATTCTTGGAATAAAATTACAACAATATATATCTAACATGCAGCTTTATTTAGAAACGATTAGGTTAACAACAATATATTACTAACATGCAGCTTTATTTAGAAACGATTAGGTTAATGTTAATTTTCAAAAATTATATATAAATCAAGTGTCTTCTAATTAAAATCAATGTTAAAAACGGCGGACGTGACAAGTTGACACGTAACTAAAATACATGTAAACAATGGATGTATGAAGGAACGTACATGCATCATGACAATTTTTGAAACTATACAAACCAATATAAAAGTTGGGAAAGTCAATTTTTTTATGTGCACATGTTATCAATGATTAAAATATTATGAAGATCGAAACTCATTTTCCACATTGAAAAAAAAACACAATACAATATGTGGCACCTGAAATAATTAGAACGGCACGTTATCGGTATTTGATGCAATGCATTTAGAAACATTTACATCTAAACAAAAATACGATGATGTATAAATAAACATACAAAAAATATAGAAATTTCATAAATTATAACTACATAGATTATTTTCGTCAAAAGGAAGTTGTATAGCTTTTTTTCTCGAGGAACTGTCGCAGTGATTTAATTGGACAAGACAGACATTTCAGGGTTCGACACTAACTGTTTTTACCAGGGATCCCATAGGAATCCCTGAGATTTAATTCAGGGATTCCTCCTAAATGTCAGGGATTCCTCAGATCAAAATAGTAAAATATGGAGGCAAAGAATAACAAGGGATTGCAGCAATTCGATTTCAAATTCTTTTCATTTTTGAGACTACATACAGGATATATTGTCTTGTTTCAGATGCAGAAAATGTAGTTTATGAGCTCTTTGGAAATAATGCTATTTAAAGTTTTAAAAGCGTTTCAAAGTATATATTTGGACTGCTAAGATAAATTAAAACATAATATATTTTTACATGAACATGGAAACAGAATAACATTAAGCTCACTGAACAAGAGTTCGATTTGAAAATAGCTTGCTAAAACCTGTTTTCTCCCTGGAGTTGATAATTGTGAACCAGTTTCTGTATCTAAATGAAGGTATAATGCAAGTGACTTGACAAGGTGGTTTGAATTTTTGAAGTTAAATAGGAACTGGGGAAACATTTTCCCAGATAGCCTAGGGTTCACTGAAATAGAGCCCACTTATCATATGTAGATCTTTAAAAAGTTACAGGTAATGATCAGGCTCCATATTCCAGAAAGGTCTGGTATGGATAACTGTCTATAATTATTTACTTTCATGTCATTTTTAAGGAAATTCTTAAGTATAATCACTTTAAAAAAATATTTGATTTCATTTTACATTTTTGTGTTTAAAAGGAAAAATCCCATAGATTGTTGTAAATTAAATATTTTGATAATCTTTTACTTAAGCTAATAAAAATATCAAGAAACAGTTTTGTTTGCATTACAAGTACGGTACCTTTAAATGATTTCATTTTTAAAAATGATAAGTTGCTCCAAGTCCCTGACAGGATGGGCAATATCCAAATTTATTGTTCTCAATTTTTACACTGAAATGTCCGATCCCTTTCCTCCCTGTGTATTGATTTTTTTGTAAGTTTTGACACCTGTCACATCAAAGGCACTCACCCCATACAAGCAGTCATGTAGCTCACAACACTGATTGGCTAAAAGCACTGTCAGATGAAATATACGTCATTTGCTGTATATTTCGTCATTTGCTGTATGTTTCACGTAACGCGAAAGGATTTTTTGTATTTCTTGTCGGTAAATAATGCGTGACCTTGATTGAACTTAAGACTTAAATTAGACAATGTTTTTTAATTTAGCATTGAAGGCTGTGAGTTTAAAAAAGGATTTTAAACTTAAAAGTATGGATTCTTTTTATTTTGTTTATTAATTATACTTTTGCTGTAGTCTACTGTAGGGAGAAAAAATACACCAGTTATCTTTTTTTCACAATTTTGACAGAAATTTACAATGGTCACAAGTGCCGAATTTTGGCAATAAAAAAACAAACAACAAACACTGGATAACTGTACAGTAGCTACCGCCGGCATTGCCGATCAACACAAATTTGAAGTACACATCGCTTGTGTAATAATTATACGATAATTACATTTCTTTTTTGAATTTTCACAACTCTATTTTATGAAGTCAATGCATGATATAAAATTACTGTATACAAGAATGTTTCTTCAGTCAAAACATTTTTGTCATTTTATATCGCAAATGAGTTGATAGCAGTCACTGCACAAAGAAAAACTAGCGTACATAATTCAAGAGTGTAGATTTTACCGGCGGGGTTTTTCTTTTCTTTCTTGAACCACTTTTCTTGAATATTTGTGATTCAATGACATTAATTCAGAAAATTTCAAAAATTTACACAGCAATTTTTCAGGGATCCCAACGGAATCCCCAGCTAGGAATCACAGGGATTCCTCCCGACATTTTGGGATCCTCGGAATCCCGGGACCCCGTTAGTGTCGAACCCTGCATTTAAGATTAATTAATGAAGTTTATATAATAAATTCAATTCTTAAAGAAGTATAAAAAAAAGCTGGGCCGTTATTATATGGATTATTTTAATCGTTTTTTGTTTTTGATAGAATTTCGGGTTCCTGTGGTTATTGCTACTGACCTAATTAATCGGGATAAAAATAAACTTGAGAACTGATGACGCTTGCGGTAGTGATTTTTTCTAATCAAATGTACCTTTCAACTGTTTCAGGGTAAATTGAAAACAACAACGGTAAAAATCATCTTTATTATTTTCGAAAAAAAATTAAATTGCACTTGCATTTATTTACACCAGCTAGACACCGACACGGAGTTACGCGTTAATTTTCTCTCGGAGTCACGCGCTTTTATTTTCGTCTCGGAGTCACTCTCATCACACGTTTCTCACGCGGAGTCACTCGTTTTTATGGACAAATACTCTCGCGGAGTTGCGAGTGTTTTCCTCGATCCTCCGAGGATTTTGCATATTCCTCGTTATCTGTACTGTATGTTTAAAACAACATTTAATAACACCAATATAATACATGTAGTTCATGACATAAATCTAACTCTATCTAAGAAATACATTCAGTGTCTATAAATAATGAAATGTACTTTGTGACAGCAACTGTTGCAGGGTGTCTGCAATTTTCATGTAATTTTGGTGTTTTTAATGCTTCCAAGGGATCACTTTTTTTACAAGATATTCATAGTACTTTAATAAGTAACCTCACATTTGACC